AGAAGAAGGAGAAGAAGAAAGAGATGGAGAGAGAAGACGTACGCGGTAATGTTCGTGGTGGTCGTAGTCGACTTCGGCTGGTGGTGGTGCCCTGTGACGTCGTCCCCGCCGCGATGTTGACCGACGATGCTTCGCCGGACAGGCTCGAATGTGTCCCCTGCGTCCCCCGTGATCTCGGAGGTTGTGACGGTGATGGAGGAGACATGCTCTCTGTCCTCTCTCCTCCTCCTCCTCCTCCTCCTCCTCCTCCCTCCTCCTCCTCCTCTTCCTCCTCTTCCGCTTCCTTGTCCGAAACCGTCCGTCAGTCGGCCGAAGATGCCGCGCGCGCGCAAGGTGATGATGGCAGACAGCAGAGAGGTAGAAAAAAAACAGAACAAAAAAAACAGAGTAACAGTACTCTCAACGAGTGTCTGAACTTGCTGCGCAGAGCTCCCCGAACCCTCGAGAGGAGGACCCTGTAGTTTTTGATTCCTCTCGAGGCGAACAGTTGTCGTTGCCGTTGTCGTTGCCGTTGTCGTTGTCGTTGTCGTTGTCGTTGGATGGATTGGTGGCCTCCGAGTGGTGACGCAGATGAAATGATACTACGAGTGATACTTCTTCGTACATGTCATGTCCCAATGTTTGTTCTCTCAATCTCCCCCGGTCGGGCTATCGGCTTTTTGGGACGCAAGTCTGTCTCTGCAGAGTGTGGGTGGGACCTCGGATTTTCTGGGGCAGAGTGAGACTGAGACTTGAGCTCGGCGGCTATTTTCATTCTTCCCTAATTACAATTTAATATTCTCATCGTCATTATTCTTATCATTATTCTTATTATTATTCTTAAATCTTCTCATCGTCATATAATAAACATCATTGGCCTTTTCTTCTTCTTCTTCTATCTCTCTCTCTCTCTCCTCTTTCTTTTGTATGTCGTCTTATGCGGCTTTTTTTTTTTTAAAAAAAAAATTTAAGAAAATTTAATCTTAATTTTTATTTTGGCTTGAAACTTTCTCATTCTTGGCTTCGAATCGTCCCCTCTTCCCTTTAATTTCCATCTACTCTTCTCGTGACTCTCTCTCCTCTCACTCTTCCTTCGAGTCTAACCCGTTCCTGATGCGGTGAGACGATATAATGTCTGACAGTCATCATCTCACACCAATCTCTGACCTGTCTTCGCCTTCATCATCAGATGCAGAGAACAACAGACGAAGACGCATGAAAACAAATCAAAAATCAAAAATAAATAAAAAAAACACAAAAAAACACAAAAAAACTTCTGCTCGTCTTCCCATCCCATCACGTGGCCTCGAGTCATCTAGGTCGTCCAGGTATTCATCTCATCTGACGATGCTAGTTGATATACGCGTCGTCGATTCCTTCCAAGCTCAATATGCCTCCGGCGGCCCTACCGGGGGTTGTCCTCACTTCGCTCGCTCCTGGTAGAAACGACATCTGCTCATAGTATATAGAGAAGAACCAGGAGATGAATCTGCTTCCTGCAGCCCTGCCGTGGGTTCCCCCTCGCCTCGCTCGCACTTCTACTACATTCTTCGCTACCAATTCTGTATGTGAAGAATGCCAGCCGTAAGCATATCCGGCTACTGGGAAACATCATCGCCCCGCTCGCAACACGCTCTCGTTGACTTGTACGTGAGGGGGGCCTGGGAAGAAGAATCAGGAGAAGAATGAGAAGAAGCAAGGTGGATTGTAAACAAGAATAGACAAGAACAAAACAAGAAGAACAGAAGAGGAGAAAAAAAAGAGACGTCGTCCGTACGGAGCATCCATCAAACCACCAAACAATCTAAACCGCGAAACGATTGGCATCTAAGAAGGAAGAAGAAAGAGGGAAAGAGGAGAATGGCAGGAGAAGAGATGGGACTAGAAGGAAGGAGAAGAAATCAAGCATCCGTAGCCAACTGTTCGCCTTCATCCAGCAACTCGATAACCTTGCCGAGATTGTCCATGAGGCTGCGTCCCAGCCCGACGAGCAGCAGCTTCTCCGCATTGGCCGGCAGCCCGAGGTACGTGGGCGGCTCGCGCTCCGGCAGCTTGTGGATCCAATCGGTGAAGTCCCTGAGGCTCGTGCCCGACGGGACGAGCAGTCCCTCGGCGCCGCCGTCGGCCGAGCCCTCCACCAGCTTGTGGTCTACGTCGTAGGCGTCCGGCGTCAGGAACTGGTGCACCAGGCTGCGGAGCAGCTTGAAGTCGCCCTCGTCGTCAATCTTGCCTCCGTACGTCTCCGTCACCAGGTACCGGATCATGTCCCACGGGATGTTCTGCGGCGCAATGTTGGTCCTGTTGCCCGCCACGCCGTCTAGCCATGTATCGACGACGAATGCCGAGCATTCGTACTGTTCAACGTCAGTCTTCTTCTTCTTCTTCTTCTTCATTGTTCGCTGGAAAAAAAAAACACCACATGTGACCCAGGTGAATCGTAGACTTACATCACTGTCGTTAAACTCCCAGAACCCCTTCCATCCGAGGTTGGGCGCATACCTCAACCTCTCCTGCACGACAGCGTGCAGGAACGAGATGAGCAGGTACAGCCTGGTGCGCTCCACCGGGCTCTTGGACGCCCTGGTCGACAGGGACGACATCGAGTCCTTCATGTTGGCCCTCACGCCCGCCGGCTGCTCGTACATGAGCACGCGCGACGCCCGCAGCAGGTTGACCGGGATCTTCGGGCTCGACTCCATCGACAGGAAGAGGCGGAAGTCGGCGTGCGGGTTGAGCGCCTCCATGCGCTTCTCCAGGCTCTGCAGCCACGTCGGCGCCAGGTGCACGTTCTTGACCAGGACCCACGACCCGGACTGTGCCGCGTTGCTGATGGCCTTGTCCGCGCTCGTCACGCCCTCGTTGGAGCCCATGGCGATGTTGGCGCACGGGATCCGCATCCTCTCCACCAGGCTCTCCACCTTGTAGCTGGCGTCGAACCCGGGGCTGGACACGAGCGAGATGGGCAGCGTCGCCGACACCTGCGCCGTCGTCTGCTTCAGGTCGTCGACGATGTCGAACACGTCGGGCCCGAACACCTGCGTCACGAACCGCTCCGCCGCCGGCACGAACCGGTCCAGCCGGAACATCTTGACCAGCAGGAGCGACAGGAGCGCCTTGTCGTTGCCCTCGGCCGAGTCCTCCCAGATCTGCGGCACCACGTTCTCCGCCAGCTCCTCCTCGAAGAACCTGTCCCAGTCGGCCGAGGGCACCGCGTCGATCTTGTCCCTCAGCACCGGCAGCTTCCTGGCCTCGGCAAACGCCTCGTCCCTGAGCGACGGGTCGGTGGACAGGTCCTTGCCCTCGGCCCTGCCGTCGAGGATGGCGTCGATGAGCGACTTGTCCATCTTGTACGGCGACGCCTGGGCGAGCAGCATCCCCAGCGTGACGCGGTCCTTCTGCAGCAGGCTCAGCGCCGTCCTCTTGAACGTGTTGACGAAGAGGTCCCTGACGATGATGTCGCGGCGCGCGTCGTGGTCCGTCTCGGCATCGAGTCGCTTGTTGTCGTGCAGCACCGACTGGAAGATGTCGACGAAGTACTGGAGCGAGAACTGGTAGAAGTGGTTGAGGAAGTGCAGCTGCTCCAGCACGGCGAAGGCGGCGCTGCACGACCGGGCGATGACGCTGTACTGCTGCGTGATCTGGTCGACCTCGGCCATGACGCCCTCGGTGTTGCTCATCTTGGCCGAGATCTCGGCCGCCTCGTTCTTGAGCGTCTCGAGCGTCTCGATGACGTTGTCGTCGTCCAGGATGTTGCCGCGCGACTCGTTCAGGGCCTGCAGCAGCCGCTTCTCCAGCTGCCGCAGGTGGATCTTGAACTCGCCCTGCACCTTGATCAGGTTCGACCGCCTCTCGTCCACGTCGGGCCTCTCCGACTTGAGCACGTCGTTGAGCGACTGCGTCTGCAGGCTGCTCTGCGTCACGCTGAAGTTGACCAGCGTCGTGCGGCTGCAGATGTCGGGCGGGAACGTGGCCGACGGGTCCCTCGTCGACAGGTAGAGCCTGAAGGACGGCGAGAAGTCGATCTCCTGCTTGCCGAGCTGGATGAGCACGCGGCCGCCCGTGCGCTGGTACTCCTTGTTGAGCACGTGGTTGAGCACGGGGTCGAGGTACTCGGCGTCCTGGATGAGGATCGGGTTGCCGAACCGGAGCGAGCTCTCGAGCTGCTTGGTGAAGGTGTCGTCCAGGAAGCTCGTGACCGTCAGGCGCCGGTCCTTGCACTCCTTCTGCAGGAACTCGAGCGTGCGCCCGGGCGGGTCGATGATGAGCGGGTACCGGTTGAAGCGGTTGAGGATGATGGCGTTCTCCGTGCACAGGTCGTCGACCGGCAGCCCGTTCTCCTGCCAGCCGAGCCGCTCGTCCGCCGTCGAGAGGTACTCGGTCACCGGGTTGGGCGACTTGTACTGGATGCCCGACAGGTGCAGCTGGTGGAACCAGTCCTCGGCCATCGACTTCCTGAAGGTCTGGTCGTACAGGCCGCTGTAGGCGAGGAAGGCGGCGGCGGCGAGCACGTCGCCGACGAGCGTGCTGATCTGCGTCTCGAACGACCTGCTGCTGTCCTCCCACCGCACCCTCTCCGACGAGAGGCTGTCGAGCAGCCTGACGCTGCGGTCGACCTTGAACTGCACCTTGGACATCTCGGCCTTGATGGCCTGCGTCTCGCTGATGAGGGCCGCGTACTCGGTCTTGTACGTGTTGATGCTGGCCTCGAGCTCGTTGATGTTGTTCTCGACCGCCTTGGCGTCGGCCTTGGTCTGCAGCGCCTGCTCCTCGAGCTGGGCGACCTCCTGCTTGAGGGGGCCCACCCGGTCCAGGATGTCCGAGTAGTTGACCTGGGCCGTCACCCACTGCACCAGGGGCCCGCACGCCTTGGAGGCGCGGTTGACCTTCTCGAAGGTGAACTCGGAGTTGGAGATGAACTCCTTGCGCATGCGGTCGCGCAGGGGCTTGGTCATGCGGCTGGCGCTGTCGAAGGTGATGATGTTGGCGATGAAGTCGTCCTTGCGGATGACTCCCTGGACCGTCTTCCAGTCCTGGATGCCGCGCCCCTGGAGGAGCGTGACGACGGCCTCCATGGCCAGCTTGACGCCCGAGGGCGGGCTGCTCATGGCCCGCACCTCGGTCAGGTGCTGGCGCTTGATGTTGCTGACGCTGGCCTTGGCCTCCTCGACGGCGGGCTCGGCCTTGGCCAGGTCCTCGAGCACCACCTGCTTGCGGGAGGCCACCTCGGCCTCCTGGATCTCCAGGGCGGCCTGGATCTCGAGCGACGTGTTCTTCCGCTGCTCGGCCTCGCGCTGGTCGGCCACCATCTTCTGCAGCTTCTCGTTGGCCTCGGCGTCCTTCTGCTCGAGCTGCGTCTTCTTCTCGGCCAGGCTGACGCGCAGGTCGCGCACCTTGTCGACCGTGTCCCTGAGCTTCTCCAGGCCGACGTTGAGGTGGCGCTGCTGCTCCTCGAGGTCCTCGCGCTTCTCGTTGTACAGCCTGACGTACTGGTTGACGAAGTCGAGGAAGTGGCGCGGGGTGAGGAAGGTCTTCTTGCCCTGCTGCCTGAGCAGCTTCCTGTTGTAGTGGTGCAGTGAGTAGTGGATGTGCACCATCGAGTTGACGACGGCCTCGCGGTGCGTGGGCGGCAGCTGGAGCCCCCGGAAGGCCACCGGGATGGTGTCGGGCGCCTGGTAGCTCGGCCGGTCCAGGTCGATCGAGTTGGTCAGCTCGCGGCCGACCTGGAAGAGGGCCTGGTCGGACCAGTCGCCGAACCAGTTGAGCACGCAGCGGTTGAACAGGGCGGGCGACGTCGCCGCCTTGGAGCCCAGGCCGTCCTCGGGCGGGTTCATGGTGAAGACGACGTGCAGGTTCTTGACGATCTGCTGCGTGAACCACTTGTACAGCTCCTCGGGCGAGTCGAGGTGCAGGTTCTGGCGCTGGGCGCCCTCCTTGCAGGCCGTCATGAGGGCGGCGTAGTCGTCGCCCTCGAACAGGCCGGGCACCTCGGCGTTGGCGAGCAGCGTGTTCATGCGCTCCAGGAAGCCCGAGTCGAGCACGTTGGACTCGTCCATGATGAAGCAGATCTTCTCGCCCTTGCAGCCGCATCGGCGGAGGACCTCGCGCAGGTCGTCGTCAAAGTCCTCGGCCGAGTACTTGCCGTGGACCTTGATCTGGAAGACGCGCAGGCCGTTCATCCAGGCCACGAAGCGCGAGAGCGTCGTCTTCCCGCTGCCGCTGACGCCGATCAGGATCAGGTGGCCCTGGGGCTGCCTGAAGACGCGGTCGATGCAGAGCACGTGGTCGAGCACGTCGTCGAACAGGATGAGCGGCACGTCGACCTCCTCCTCGCAGAAGGTCTTGAGGCGCGCCTTGACAAAGTCCCGGAGCTGCTCGCGGTCGACGGGGACGTAGTTCTTGGACAGCCAGTTGGAGAAGAGGATGGGGCCGCCGAGCGCCTTGTCCTCCTCGATGGTGGGGAAGTGCTCCAGGGCGATGCGGCGGATGGCGTCCTCGGTCCACCTGCGCTCCTCCTCGGCGACGAGGCGGTCCTGGAAGAGGCGGAGGGCCTCGTGGGCCCAGATGCGGATGAGGCCCTCGACGGTCAGGGCCTCGAGCGGCTTGATGGCCTCGTAGACACCGCGGACCCAGCGCGTCAGCTCGCGCGGGCTGTAGACGTAGTGCGGCTGGATCTGGGGCGTGAAGCGCTGCTGCGACTCGAGGTAGAAGCGCACCATGGCGCGGGTGAGGGCCTCGGCGTAGCCGCGCAGCGAGGGCACGATCTTGAGCACGGCCGAGTTGAAGGTGCCGTAGATCTGGTTGAGCGACAACTCGCCCGGGTAGTCGACCATGATGAGGGGCGCGTGGCGCAGGAACCGGGCGCCGAGGGGCGTGCGGCCGGCGTCGGTGGGCGGGTTGCAGGCGCCCACGAACTGGATCCTGTCGAGCGTGACCCACGACTTGTCCGACGTCCTCCAGAAGCCGTTGTGCTCGACCAGCTGGCGCAGGAAGGAGATGGCGCGCTGGGTGCCGTACCTGTCGGGGGCCGGCAGGTTGATCTCGTCGCAGAAGACGACGAGCCAGCGGCCGATCTGGGTGGGGGAGAGCATGACGCCGTTGAGCGTCTTCTTGTACTCGCAGTACTGCTCAAACGTCTTGATGAGGAGGTCGGGGGTCGTGGCGCTGGAGAAGTTGAGGCCGACCACCTCCATGTTGGGCAGCTTGCGCAGGGCGCTGAAGAGCGTCATCGTCTTGCCCGAGCCGGGGGGGCCGCAGAGCAGGAGCGGCTTGTGCTCGGCCAGCCACGAGTACAGCACGTCCTCGTGGCGGACCGTGTCGAGCGTGGGGATGACCACATCCGTCTGCGTGATGGAGTGCGTGTTGACCTCGACGGTGGGGACCTGGGTCTGCCAGGAGGACCACTCGGCGCGGGGCAGGGTGACGTCGAAGTCGATGAGCGAGCTGCTCCCGTCGAGCGGCGGGGAGCCGAAGCTGGCCAGGCTGCAGAGGGCGTCGCCAAAGGCCTTGCGGTCGCCGAGAGGGCAGTCGCCCGTGAAGGCCCAGACCAGGGCCAGCAGGAGCTTCTTGGAGACGAAGGCCTCGACCTGGTCCGGCTCGACGTGGAAGTCCGGATGCTGGGCGTTGTACTCGATGACGTCCCTGACGGCCTTGTTGAGCAGGGAGAAGAGCGTGGTCAGGACGCGGGCCGAGGTGAAGTCCATGATGTGGCTGTAGCCCTCGGCCCGGCGGAGAGCCTCGGAGGTGAAGCTGCCGCCGGTGAGGTGCGCGGACAGGAAGTCGGCCACCTGGCCCTGGACGGCCAGGTTCCTGGCGGGGTTCTGGCCGGCGCCGACGCTGTCCTCGTCGAGGTCCTCGAAGGGCACCTTGCGCAGGGCCTCGAGGTAGTTGGCGACGAGCATGTCGGACGTGACCGTGTCCTCGCTGAACCAGACCATGCCGCAGCGGCTGACGGTGGCCAGGGTGGCGTACTTGAGGGTCTCGACCTCGAACATGATGCGCACGTTCGGCGGCAGGTTGAGGCGCTCACCGTTGGGCAGGGTGAGCAGCTTGTTGTCGTCGAGGACGCTGTTGAGGTTCTCGACCCACTCGGGGTCGACGTCTCCGTCAAAGACGATCCAGTGCCTCTTGGAGTCCTCGCCGCGCAGGTTGTCGACGATCTTGCGCAGGATGCTGGTGAAGAGACCGTCGGTCCACTCGCGCGTGGTCGCGTCCAGGCTCCCGTACAGGGCCTCCTTGGACATGACCTTGGAGTCGATGACGTGGCAGACGCCCTCGACGTTCTCGACCTGCTGGAGGGCGCTGAGCAGCAGCCTCCAGGCGCCCGACTTCCCGGTGCCGGACTGCCCCACCATCATGACGCCGTGGTGGATCTTCTGGATCTGGTAGAGCTGGAGCACCTTTGTCATCCACAGCTCGTTGACGACGAAGTGCCTCTCCGCGGCCAGGGAGCGGATGGCGTCCTCGAGCCGCTCGAGGTTGGCGGGCACGTACTCGACGCCGGGGAAGCAGTCCTTCTCGATGGACATCATGACGTCGACGTCCGGCTTGATGAGCTTGGGCGCGATGGTCTCGCGGATGCTCTGGACGATGATCTCGGGCTCGACAACCTCCTGCTCGGGGCCGAGGTTGCCGGCGGTGAGCCTGGCGCGCTTGAGGCCGCCGGAGCTGACCAGGACGCTCTTGAGCGCGCGCAGGCCGAAGTCGTAGTGCGCCTGCTTGGACAGCCGGCGCGAGCAGTGGTCGAAGAAGGGGACCGTCTGCTTGGACAGGCTCTTGGCCTGGTTGAAGCCCTGCGAGTAGAGCATGACCTCGGCGATGAGCTCCTTGTCGGGCTTGGACATGGCGACGCTGCGGAACAGCTTCTTCAGGTTGTCGGGCAGGTTGGAGCGGCCGGCGTATCCGGGGTTCATGGTGATGAAGATGCCCGTGTTCTCGCTGACGCTGAGCTGGCGGCCGACGAGCTCGATCTGGGCGCCCGGCTCCTCGGTGGCCTGCTTGAGGCCGAGCTGGATGTTCTGGATCTGCTGCGACACGGCCGACAGGATCCTCTCCTCGAGGCGGTTGAACTCGTCGAAGCAGCCCCAGGCGCCGACCTGGCAGATGCCCAGGAAGATGCGGCCCATGGCTTGGAAGTCAAAGGTGTCGTCGCAGCAGAAGACGAGGGTGAAGCGGCCGAGCTGGGTGCCCAGGGCCTTGACGGACTCCGTCTTGCCCGTGCCGGCGGGGCCGTAGGGCGATCCGCCGAGGCGCTGGCAGAGGGCCTGCGTCAGGGTCAGGAAGCAGCGGTCCGTGAGCGGGGTGCGGACCAGGCGGTCGGACACGCCGAGGTACTCGAAGCCGTAGTTGAGCCTGGCGTTGGCCATCTCGACGTGCAGGCGGTCGAGGGAGTCGCCGGCGGGCGTGTAGACGTAGCGCATCTGCAGCTGCCAGAGGTGGTGGTCCGGGGACCCGGCGCCGGCCTCGACGAGCTTCTCGATCGTGTCGCGCTGGTGCACGCACTCGGTGATGATCTGCTCGGCCTTCTTGCGCTGGAGCACGTCGAGCTCCCCCAGGACCGTGTCGGCCAGGACGCGCAGGACCTGGACCTCGCGCTCGAACAGGGTGGGCAGGTCCCCGCCGCCGGCCTCGAGGGCCCTCTCGACGGCCGTCGTCCAGGCGGCCTGGGTGGCCAGCACGACGATCTGGCTGGGGTAGGCGTCCATGAACCTGGTCAGGCCGTCGCGGCCGATGGTGCCGGACTCGAACATGGGCATGTACTCCTCGTAGGCCTCCACGAGCAGGTCGGCCAGCGTCGACTTCATGCCGGACTCGAGCAGGGCGAGCCAGTCGTTGATGCGGGGCGCCTTGGCGAGGGAGATGTCCTTCTTGAGCCTGACCTCCTCGCCCTCCTTGGAGGTGAAGCCGGAGATGACCGTCTCCTCGTCCATGACGAGGCCGGACAGGCCGGCAAACATCTTCTTGAAGTGCTTGGCGATGCGGAGCGAGTCGTTGCTGTTCCCGATCATCTCGAGCAGGTCCTCGTCGCCGACGAAGTAGAAGCGGGGGAAGGACACGCGCTCCTTCTCGAGATACTCCCCCAGGGCCTTCTGGATCTTGTTGAGCATCTCGGCGAGGCGCTCCAGCGACTTCTGGACGTTGGCGATGTTGAGCACGTCGAGGACGTAGGGCGACTTGGCGGCCTTCTTCATGACGGCCGTGAACTCGCTGTTGATGTTGGCGAAGCGGCCCGACTCGATGGGCAGCAGGTGCTTGATGTCGGCGTTGCCGGTGAAGACGCCCTCGAGGTAGACCCACTGGCGCTGGACGTCGATCCAGACGTCGAAGAGGACGTGGACGCGGTTCAGCTTGTCCTCCCAGGAGACGGCCTCCTCCTCGAACTCCTTGTAGTAGGGCGAGTGCTTCATGGCCTGCAGCGAGTTGAGGTTCTCGGAGCACTTGGCGAACAGGTCGTCCCAGCCGCGGATCAGCTTGAGCTTGTTCTGGTAGCCGACCATCTCGAGGGCGTAGCTCTGCCACGTCTCGCGGACCTGCTTGAGGAACTCCTCGAGCGCCATCTCGCCCTGCGCCTGGGCGATGATGTCCCGGACGACGGCCTCGGTGGCCACCAGGTTGAGGTCCCAGACGTCGCCGAGCGTCATGGAGCTGGGCGAGAAGCGCGTCTGCGGCCTGATCTGCTTGTAGATCTTGTGCCAGTGGCGCTCGCGGATGGCGTCCGACTTGAGGTCCGACAGGGTGGAGTTGACCTTGAGCAGGCTGCGCAGGATGCCCTGGACGTGCTCGAAGGCGGCGTACTGCCTCATGCGGCTCGGCATGTCCCTGGTGCCGGCGAGCAGCTCGTCGATCTTGCCGCGGATCTTGCGCGGCTGCACGGCCGTCCACAGCGTGTCGCGCGTCTCGTTGAGGCTGGACCAGATGGTGGCCAGGTTGGACCACACCGACTGGAAGTCGCGCACCTCCTGGAGGGTCGAGACCAGCGACGTCTCGGAGCTGGCGGGGATGTCGAGCGCCTCCTTGGCCCTGGCCACCATGTCGAAGTCGTCCTGGAGCTTGGAGATCTTGCTCTCGAAGGCCGTGAGGGTGGCCGAGGCGACGTCGGGCTGGATGGTGCCCGACACCGGCTTCTCCTCGTTCCACTGGGCGATGACCTCGGAGATGCGGTCGGTGACGAGCCTGTCCTCGGCGACGATCTTGGCGCGCAGGGCGTCGGTCTGGTCCTGGACGATGCGCGACTTCTTCTCGAGTATCTCCTTGAGGGCCTCCCACTGGCTGTCGATCTGCTCGATGTGCAGCCAGTCGTTGGGGAACTGGTAGCGCTGCCTGACGAGGGTCGACTGCCCCTGGCGGAACATGTCGATCTCGGGGGCCCAGGCCTTGACGCTGCGCTTGCAGCTCTGCACGACGGTGATGAAGTGGACGGCCTGGGCGGTGGACGAGGCGTCCGAGCTCTGGGTCTCGAGGTGCTTGCGGGACTTCTCGATGTCGGCGTGGACGTCGCGCATGCGGTTGCCGAGGCGGGTGGCGAAGCGCATGAGGATCTCGCGCTGCCACTGGTCGTACTTGTCGTTCACCTTGGCCTGGACCTGGCCGTAGTCGATGGTGATGTGGCCAAACGACCGGCTGTCGTCCTGGGTGTCGAAGGTGCTGCGCGTCTTGCGGATGTCCTGGAGCAGCTCGAGCCACCTCGACAGCTGCTCGCCCAGGGCGTCGTAGACCTGCTCGGACTGCAGGTCCCACAGGGACTGGAACTGCAGCCACTCGTCGACGTAGGTGCCGATCTCGCCGAGCTTCCTCTCGACCGAGACGTAGACGCGCTGCAGCATGCCGGCGCACTCGCTGGGCAGCTCGGTGAAGCCCAGCTCCTCGATGGCGCTCGTGTTGAGGCTCATCTGGTAGCGCGAGGCCCTGATCTTGTGCAGGTTGCACACCACGCCGATCCAGTCGTGGAGGTGCAGGAACCAGCTGGCGCGGGCGTGCTCCACGGGCGGGTCGAGGTAGATGACCTGGTTTCGCATGGCCAGCTCGAGGACGATGGGCTTCATCACGGGGCCGTTCCTGGCATCCTCGCCCGCACCTCCACCGGTGGTGGTGGTGGTGGTGGTGGTGGTGGTGATGGTAGTGGCGGCGGCGGCGGCGGCGGCGGCGGAGAAGGAGGAGGTGTAGGAGGAGGAGGAGGAGGAGGAGGAGGAGTCCTCGAAGGCGGAGATCCAGGCGGATATGGCGCTCTGCAGACGACCGAGGAGGACCTCCTGGATCCTCTCGTTGAGACCGCCGACCCAGAAGTCGAGGTTGGCGTAGCGCTCGAGGTTCAGCTGGTCGACGGCGGCCTGGACGGTGTCGAGGTGCGACCGGAAGGCGGCCACCTCGTAGGGGCAGGTGCCGAGGTCCCGGAGGGCCTGCTCGACGGTGGCGTAGATGTAGCCCAGGGAGACCGTCTTGCTCTGGAGGACGGAGACGGCCGAGGCGAACCCGCGGATGAACATGCCGTGCTTGCTCTCGGTGTTCTTGGCGAGGCCGAAGTCGGTGGCCCCGGACAGCAGGGGGCGGGCCTGCCTCTGGTCGGTGTAGAAGAGCTCGTGCGAGTTGATGAAGGACTCCCACCGCAGCGGGACGCCCTCCACTACGAGCTTGTAGACGTCGTTGCGGTAGCCGTGGAGCAGGACGGCCTCCTCGCCCATGGCGGAGACCTGGCGTACGGTCTGGGCCAGGGTCCTCACGCTCTCCATCAGGCTCACGGCGTAGGGGTAGACGCGCTTGGCGTCCTTGGAGACGGTGGTGATGGAGTGGGGCACGCTGTAGCCCTGCCAGGTGAGGTTGCGCGTCTCCTTGAACAGGGTGATGATCTGCGGGTCGAAGTTGACGGCGAGCTCGAGGATGCCGCCGGCGGACCTGACCCGGTTGATGTCGAACAGCTGGCCGGAGATGGAGATCTTGCGGCGGGTGACGTCGGCGGCCCAGGCCTCGAAGATCCTGTCCGTCTTGAGCTTGTCGCGGAACAGGTCGCTCTCATCCTTGAGCTTCTTGCCCTCGGCATGCAGGTACCAGTCGGGACCGAGGACGGCCTCGACCTTCTTCATGTAGCCGTCCAGCTGGAGCTCGATCTGGCGGGCCCAGATGATGGCGCCCGAGACCGGGGGGATGTCGCGCAGCTGGGACATGGCGTGGGCCTCGGAGTGGCCGTACTGCTGCTTGAAGCGCTCGTGGAGGCCGTTGATGGCCTGCTTGACGTGGTCCATGAGCTGGTTCTGGTACTCCTGGATGGCGCCGCGGATCTTGGGCCGCACAAAGAGGGCGTTGAACTTGGAGAAGACGCGGAACATCTCGTTGGCCGTCTTGGTGGTTCCGAGGCGGTCCCGCAGCCTGGTGATGATGGAGTTCTCGACGCGGGTGGTGCGCTCGTTGTACAGGTTCTCGGCGAGGGAGAAGCGGTCCTTGCCCTGCTCGGTCACGTCGAGGAGGTCGACGTTCTGGAGGGCCTCCCAGGCCTGGTTGACCTCCTGCACGGCATCGACGTCGCCCATCTCCTCGATGACGACGCCGTCGGCGCCCGTGGTCTCGGTCATGCCGGTGAGGGTGGCCTTGGGGCCGAGGACGTTGACGATGGTGCGCTGCAGCTGCTCGTGGTTGTCGCGGAAGGTGCCGACGTAGTGGATCCTCGACTCGAGCTCCGAGTGCTTCTTGTTGATCTTGATGGGGATGAACTTTTCGTTGCGGCGCCGCGTCACCTCGCGGGCCACGTTGGTGAACTCCTTGACGGAGTCCTCCCACGTCTTGAAGATGTCCTCGCTCGTCCTCATGACGGTCCGGAACTGGTCGTAGTCGAGGTTGACGAGCTCGGTCCCCGGGAGCAGGCGGTGCAGCACGTCGTCGAGGTCGGCGGAGATGGACTCGACGAGGGGCAGGGCGCGCCGGATGGGGTAGGGGCAGATCCTGAGCTTCTTGTTGAGGTGCTGGAAGATTTCGCGGATGGCGTCCTGGACCTTGGAGAGGGAGGTGGCGGAGAGCAGCTCGTCGAGGGGGAAGTCGCGCATCAGCTGGTTGTACTTCTGGACCTTCTCCATGGCCTCCTTCAGGCCCGTGTCGGCGGTGAAGCTGACGGTGGCCTGGAATCGCTTGGCGTGCTTGAGGATGTCGAGCGTGAGCAGGACGCCCTCGCTCCGGAGCTGGGCCTCGACGCCCTCGAGGGCCGACTCCATGGACAGCCAGAAGTTGACCTCCTGGCTGGCCGTGTTGAACTCCTGGTTCTGGCCCGAGGAGGAGGCGCTGTCCCTGGTCATCTTGGTGATGCCCTGGATGGACTTGATCCACGAGTTGACGTTGGCCTGCAGCCTGTTCAGGAAGGTGCTGTCCTGCAGGAGCTCGGGGGGTATCGAGTCGATCGAGGGTCGGGTGTGGTGGGCGTCGGCATCGTCGAGGACGGTCTGGACGGCGGAGTGGAAGGTGAGGGAGATTTCGGGTATGTCGACGTTCTGCTGGAGGTGCAGCAGGCTCAGCTCGAGGTCGTTGAGCCTCTTCTTGGTGACGGGGATGCCCGTCTTGGAGTCGACGTCGGCGCGGCCCCTGGTCCCGTTGGCGGCCTGCTGGGGCTTGGAGTTGGCGTCGAAGTAGGGCACGAGGGCGTGGTGGACCTGCGAGTGCAGCACCTCCCAGGGCGACAGCGAGGGGCCCTGGTCGGCCACGATGGCGGCCAGGGACGCGGGGCCGGGGAGGTTGGTGATGAAGATCTGGGACGTGAGCGGCCGGGTCGGGTCGAGCGGCTGGGGAGCCTTGATGAGGACGAGGGAGGCGACGGTCGTGGGCGACGACGCGAGTTCGGCGGTGAGGCTGTAGCGGAAAGACGAGGGCACGGCCGTGTCGGTCCCGCTCTCCACGGCCGACGAAGCGGCGATATCCTTCTGGATATACAGCACGCTCTGGGCATCGGCGGCGAACCGCGTACACCGCGCTACCGTCTCGCCGTAGCGGCTGCTGTGCAGCAGGTTCCCCTGCTCCTCCAGCTCCTCCTGCGTAGATCCCAGGGCCACCTTGCACACCTGTACGAGATGTTCGACGACGCGTTCGGGCTCTATGGTCTGAAAGGGTGGTGCCGACGTCGTAGGGGATACGTCGACACCGTTCCCGGCCGTGGTAGCCAGGGAGCTCGAGACCTCCATCATCGGTATGATCGAGTCGAGCAGGTTTTGTATTGTTGAATTATGACGATCGGCTCATGTTCTTTCTACTCTCTCTTCTCTCTTTCTTCCCGTATTCTGGTCGGCTATCGAGAGAAGATGAAGAAAGAAAGAAAAAAAGGTCTCGGGATGGCGATCAAGGGGTAGAGAGAAAGTCAAGGGTAAAATGATGGTAGTAGCAAAAAAAGAAGATAGAAGGAACGGTCTGAAAAGGTAAAGTACCAGAAAGGTAGGTGGGTATCGTCCAACTTCGAATTCGTCTCTGCAGTATGGCGCTCTGTCAGGAGAGGCGGAGAGAGGGAAGGAGAGTGCGCGTGTCGTTGGAGGTGAAGAGAAAGAGAGCGATTGTAATCTGTAATCTACCCAGAGAAAAGAAGGTATCAATTTCCACAAGACACTGCTGGAGATGTGACGACGCGCCCGCGCCGCGGCGTGGCCCTCCCCCCCCGTCAGGAGCGAGTCGTGGCGAGTTGCTGCTACAGCCCGCTGCTACGAGATGACGGTTCTAGGGTATCTCTTATTGGGCAGCTTTATTGGATAGAATGTACCTCCCCGTATCCACTTGGCGGATCGTCCGCCAGCTGGCTGACTATCCACCATTAAGCCCCTCGAATCACGCTCTACTCCACAGCCTGTTATAGGGAGTAGATAGGTACATACATGCCCGTACACTGCTTTGCCAACTTTACGACGTGCAAACGGGGTACGGTAGGTCCTCGTACCCGTCCCTGCAAGAGGTAAGAGTGGCAACCACCCGTACATGTCTGTACTCACTCGTAATAATACAGCGACTCCCCCGTCCCTCTACAGCAACTCCGTAGATAGATGCAACCCACTGTATCGATGTATCCACCATCACCCAGTGTACCTGACGTACGGAGCAGCACGAGTACAGCAATGCATACATGTAGGTAGCCCGAGATCACTGTCTAGCTGGTGCCCACAGAAAGAGCGGGACGGTTGATACCATGACGCCGTACAAGGTAATAAGGCTGTTGGTTATTGCTAAAGTTTGGGGAATGCTGTGCTCATGTTTGATGTGATTTGCACTCACTCATGCACGTAGATCAACACCAATCATATCAATCGTCAATACAACAAACTTCTAAAAGTCATAACAACCCAGCGATGAATACCAAACAAGATCCCAAGCATATAACAACCAGAGAATATCTAAGAAAAATAACACGAGTGAAAAAAGAAGAAGAAAACGTGACAATCCTGATGCTCTCCCAGTCCACGCGTATACACATTATTCTTAGATCCATCATCTACCATGAATGTAAATACTCCCATCCTCCCATCTCTCTCTCCTCTCTCTTCTCCCTCTCTGCTCTTCTCTCTCTCTCTCTCTCAGGTCAAACACACAGAAATAAACCCTTCACCAAGAATCAAGTTCCGCTCGATTCCCGGTCGGGTTCCAGGTGTAGTGATTGACGAGTGTCAGGGAAGGGAAAGGGTGGCAGAGGTAAGGCACACAGAGAGACATAACCCCAAACCCACGATATAAAACATCCTTTCTTCCTCCTCCCCCTAATTCACAAACTACCAGACAAGCAAAGACGAGAAAGAAAAATGACATGACTTGTCTTTTTTCCCCCCAAACGCCTGGAGAAAAGGAGAGCAGCCATGACAGCGTAAACAGACACGGCCATGTCCGTCTTCTTTTCGTAGACAGGTCCAAAGAATCTTCCTCGAAAAAAAAAAAGAAGAGAGAGAAAAAGAAGACCCGAGACCCATGTACACCCTAGGAACCCCTATGTTGCGCCTAATATGCTTTTTTTGGTTGTTTTCGTTTCCTGCCTTGGCGGCAGGTTCAGACGTTGTTTCTCATCATGACAGCCAGCAGCAAGGGCTAATCATGGCAGGTTACCACCCCCGGACTGCCCACCTTCGAGACGCTCCCTCTGCACCATGACTCGCTGATTGCAGATGTCGATAAACGTTTCAAACTTGTGAATCATCTGGTCCTTCTCCTCAATCTTGCTCTTGAGCTCGTCAATCTGTTTTTGCTTATCCTCTTCCATCTTCTTGAAATCTTCCTTGACCTTGGCGAGCTCGCGTCGTAGCTTTTCTTCCGATGTCTGCGGCGTCTTCGTGTAGATGCTAGATGCTTGCTGCTGCTGCTGCTGCTGCTGCTGCTGTTGTTGTTGTTGTTGTTGTTGTTGTTGTTGTTGTTGTTGTTGTTGTTGTTGCTGCTGCTGCTGCTGCTGCTTCTGCTGCTGCTGCTGCTGTGGCTGTGGCTGTGGCTGTGGCTGTGGCTGTGGCTGTGGCTGTGGCTGTGGCTGCTGCTGTGGCTGCGGCGGCTGTTGCTCGTCTGCCGAGCCCGCCTTTGACGGGTTCCTGTTGATGGCGGCGCGGGCATTGTAGATATCGCGGGGCAGCAGATGGCAATCGGGGTTCTCGTTCTGCAATATGGCGAGTGTCTCCGGGACGCCAACACCTGTGGATGGTGAGGTTGTGTCACTTGGTGGTGGTGGGTAGGATGACGTACCACTCTCCTTGAGCTGCTTCACAGCCGTCACCATCTTGCTGTCGAGCTTTCTCGCCGCTGGATGGTGTGACGGCCCCTTGCTCGGCCCGTGGTTATGGTGCAGGTGCACCTTGTCTGGCCGGTAACGAATCGTCCACTGCGTACGCTGCTCTATGGCGAAGAACCCGAATGGGCAGTCGCACTTCCTCGACGACGTCTTTCGCTTCCGGAACTCTGGGCTGACCCTGTTGGGCGGCTTCCCTGCGCGGTCGCAGACAAAGAGCACCTTCTTCAACCCCGGCAGCGTCTTCTTGGAGCGGCCGATGACGATAGCGTAGCCCACCGAGGTGCAGTAGCGCAGGACGGCCTTCTGGACAGCCTCCAACGTTGGATAGCTACCTCCCTCGGGTGGTGGCGACATCATCTCCCCCATGGGCTGCGTCGGGACGTACGAAGGGTCGTCGAGGAGCCTCGAGTCGAGCCCGCTGACTTCTGTATCTCCATCGTGGTGGCTATCGTCGATGTCCATATCCTCCGTCGGGTGCGCGTCTTCTTGCGCTGCTGCTTCGCTCTGCGACTTCTGGGTCTGGGCTGGCGCTGGCAGTGCCGGCGTCGGTACCTGCTTCTGCTTCTGCTGTGGAGTGGGATGGCCTCGGCCTCCCTTGGCCTGCGGTGCCGGTGCCGGTGCCGGCGGCGTTGCCTGTGCTTGCATCTGAATCTGAGCCTGTGCTTGAGCCTGTGCTTGAGCCTGGGCCTGGGCCTGTGCCTGTGCCTGTGCCTGTGCTTGTGCCTGTGCCTGTGCCTGTGCCTGTGCCTGGGCCTGTGCCTGTGCCTGTGCCTGTGCTTGGGCTTGGGCTTGAGTCTGGGATGGCTGTGGCTGCTGTTGTGTGGGAGGGGGCAATTGATGATTCTGCTTCGGTTGATGCTGCGGTTGGTTTGTCGGCTGCCCAAGCTGTGCTGTCGGTTGCTGCCGGAGTGAGATTTGCGGTGGTTGCTGTTGCTGTTGCTGCTGCTGCTGCTGATGCTGCTGCTGCTGATGCGGGAGTTGAGGCTGGTGGGCAAGATGTTGCGGAGGCGTCTGCTGGTGCTGGTGTTGATGCTGCGAAGATTGACGCTGCAGCTGGTGCTGTTGCTGATGGGCGCGCTGCTGCTGCTGCTGCTGCTGCTGTTGTTGTTGTTGTTGCTGCTGCTGCTGCGCCGCCTGCTGTTGCTGCAGATGAGCCTGGTGAGGTGGCTGCGGCTGCTGGGAGGGGTGAGGTTGGTGTGGCTGATGGCCCTGCAGGGTCTGATGCTGTTGAGGGTGGGGTTGGTGAGCCTGGTGATGCTGCTGCTGGTGTCCCGGGAGCGGCTGGTGTGAGGGGTGACCGGGGTGCTGCTGCTGTTGGTGATGCTGCTGCTGCTGCTGCTGCTGCTGCTGCTGCTGGTGATGATGAGCCATGATGGGGTCATGCTGGACAGACTGGCTCATGGGCCCCGGGAAAAGCATTGACGAAGGTTGTGGTTGGGTCTGAGATTGCGGCGGCATGGGCTGACGAGGAGGAGCGCCTCGCTGACGCTGAACGCCCAGAACATTCTGCGGGTGGGCGTTGGGAGCCCTCGAGGCACCGTTGGGGACATTTCCGTTGACCTGGGGCGCGAAGAGGTGATGGGGGTACTGCTGAGGCGGATGCTGAGGAGCGTACTGAGACTGGTAGGGTGACGCGGTATGAGGAACGGGCGACTGCTTGTTCGGCTGAGCGGGGTGCGGCGGAGGGAAGCCCGGATTCCGTCTGAGGCCAGCTGGGTTGAAGTTGAGCCCGTGAGCCCCGGGGCCAGGTGGTCCCAGAGACGACATGGTTCACGGTGGCCCGTGGGCGATCCCGCGATGTCGTGTGTGTAATTTTCGCCTTTTTCCCTCCCGACTTTTTAATTTTGAAGAAGAAAAATTTGCAGGTTCTGTTGTCTGTCGTCTCACAACGGTTGGTAAGTCATAAGAGTGTGGGAGGGCGTGTGACCGAGTCGGATTCGATATCGAAGGTTTCCGTGCGAACGATACCCTCTTTTCGCCGTGTATCGTCTTTCTTGTGACGAAGGATGGGAGGAGGAGAGAAAAAAAAAAAAAGTTGGGTAATTTTTTAGAGTCACGCGTCTGCCGTTGGAGTGTGGTGTGTGGTGTGTGGGGTGGAGGGAACGGCCGGTTGTGGGAAGGGAAGGGTGGGAGGAGAAAGCAAAAGGGAAAGAAAATTCATAAAATAAAATATAAAAAGAGTTCAGCAGCAACGTGTCGGTCGGTTCAGGCGGATGAAGTAATCCGGTGGGGGGGGGAGAACAGAAAGGCAGGTAAGGCAGCGGAAAGCAAGACAAGCAAGGCTTTTCTCTGACCCTCAAGGTGAGACGGGAAGAAATAAACAATAGCAAAACGTCAACTCGAGATGGACTCGAAAGAAAGAAGAGAAAAAAAAAATGTTTGGTCGTGTGTGTCGTTGGCTTGACTGCTATGGCCAGGCGGTGGGCAAACACCCTTGGAAGATTGTGAGGCTGCTACTGCTGCTGCTGCTGGGGGTGTCTTTAGATTGAAGGGAGGAGGCGTGGGAGATGGGAGGGAAAAGAAAGAGAGAAGGAGAGGGAGGATGAGAGGGAGGCGTGGATATTAGAAGGAGATGGAGGGGAGGGAGGGGAGGGGTATAGCACGGACCCTCCCTCTACTGTGGAGTGCTAGCCGTGTGTGTTCTACATACACCGAGAGGGGGGGGGAGGAGAGAGAGAAAATATCGCCAGAGACTGGCTTTCAGGCTGGGCTGGTCCAACCGGGTCCGGCTGGGCCTGGGCTGTACGGTACACCGATACACCGTCACGTACCAGGGTCAGTTGTACGGGGGTACCCGTATCAGCAGTGCTGGAGATGTATTACCACGGTTGGCTCTCTAACATCAGGGAAGAGTCCGGTCGGATCCGTAGCATCAGTCGGACTCTCCTCTACTAGCAGAGTACGGATTACGAGTGATGGTGATAACGATGAATGCACGTAGACTGCGGCGTCAACTCCCTCATGGATCGCCCAATCTCGGCCATCAGCGTCGATGCAAATCATCATGTGTGCGGTCTCCCGCTTGGGATGCATCCTGGTAATTAATACCTTGACCGTCAAACACAGAGCCGCTCGGGCTGCCAAGTTGGCGGGTACGATACCGCACTCTACTACGGGGAGTACGAGGTTAGCCATACAGAGTAGTGGTGATGTGCAGCATCACATGTACGAGGTACCTACCCTCGTAATGCTCGTACAGAGCCCAGGCAGCATCACCGCGGGCAGCAGCGGGGTGAGCATCGAATGGATGGACACGACGGGCAGCATCACAGGCGTCACGGGCATCGCAGGCCCGGGCATCGCAGCGCCACCAGTGGAAGCGGACATCAGCTAGGACCGGCGGGTGGTTACAGTGTACGAGTACTGTCCTGGCGCACCGCTCCAGTGTCAGTGTCTACCTACGCCGTACCACTGGCACTGGCACGGGGAAGGGGGGGACTTACGCGTCCACGCTAAGCCGGCAACAACACGCCACTGCCACGTCGGGCAAGCGCGTTGTACGGTTAATCCTTGCATGTATCGTTGCAATCCATGATCATCTTTTCTTATAACAGATACGATGGCTGCTCTCTATATTCAGAGATCTCCATCTTCCCATTATACGTACCTTGCCGGTAGTCTATCTCTACCACCATACTCTCTGCCTGTGCTGTCCTACCATCATCCCGTCTCTCTCTCTCTCTTCCAGGGAGCGATGGAGTGCAAGCCCAGGTACCTGCCACTCACTCGTACGGTAAGCCGCCAAGACGCGTCAAAACACGGTCGAGTCTTGGTCCTTGATGAAAGGGGAGGGGGGGGGTTACGTACATGCGAGTATGATACTGGTCATCTGTAATACGGATTACTGACCTTAGCACTCGTCGTGGCACGTACATCAGCTGAAGGCGCTGTAGCCAGCACCGGAGCCAGTGATCGTACCTAACATACCACAAACCAGAAGCCTATTATTCCCTTGTAGTCCGTAAACCGACCTCCCCGATGCTCCTGTGTCCTGTATGTGGTGCTTACATTCTTCTCTCAACAGCAGACTTTTTTACTCTTCCTCACCTCGATCCTCCTCAGACCTCGGCGTCATTCTCTACACGATGCGAATACCTCGGGTACATCTGTATATAGAGAGAGAGAGAGAGGGAGAGAGATAAATATATAGATATATCGGTATATAGATATATATTATAATCATGTAGATATCCCTGAGCATTGTGCTACAAGCATTGAAACTGTTGCGATGAAACGAGGTCCACCGTCGACTTTCAGGAAGAGGAAAGAAAAAGGAATCCACGCACACTCCGTGCTCGTACGGAGTATGATTACTACCTGCCTGCTCCGTTTATTACCACGTAGCACCCCGTAACGACCAAAAATTCAGCACCCTCCGTATGGATAATAACCCCCATATCCCTACAGATTACACCGTGCTTCTCCGAGAGTAGAAATGTACGTCTACGAGTAATCTGTGCATGAGATGGATGATACTATTATTACTCTGTACATCGCTAATACGCAGATACCTACCCTGCTGACCGCAACGTCTTGATCTCCATCGAGAGATCGATCTCCATCAAGAGACGCGATAGACCCGCCAGATACAGTACTTGTACTCATCCTGCTAAAGTACTGGTGGTGATAATGTCATCAGACGTCCAACGATGGTGGGTTATATTCAGTCTATTCTTACTTGTAGTTTCGTCGCCACCGAAAACGATGTCGGGGGAAAGAAAAAAAGAAGAAGAAAAAGAGAAAAAAAAAAAAAGAATACGCTCACCAACTCCCTCCACCTCACACCGCTGACATCTTCTTCCTTCTCTTCCCCTGGTCTCTTCCGCTGCTGCTCCCCGCATCGTCAGTGTCGATGAAGTGCTTCTTCTTGATCTGGTGCTGCCGTAGGTTATCCGCCCGGTTGGTAAACTTGGACGGGCAACCGGGGTAAGGGCACTGAAATATCGTGTTCTCTGCCGCGTGCTTCGTCTTCCTGTGCTTTGTCATGCTGCCTGCGTACCAGTGAGGGTCACCACTGGGTCGGTACCCGCAATCTTGGCAGATGGGCCGTGGATTGCTCGCCTGCAGTTCTATAGACGCCAGAGGTCCCGCAAGCTGCTGCTGCTGCTGCTGCTGCTGGGGTGGCGGCGGAGCCGGCATTGGCTTCTCTTGGGCCTGGCCTACCCGTGACGCTCTGGAAGCCGCCGCTCTTGCCGCCTCCGCCGCTGCCGGCGTATGGTAGCCTTCCTGTAGCATGGGAGGAGACGTCCTTGTCCGTGAGGACGGGGACGAGGAGGCCTCAGCTGCCGGGATCGCCGCCGTCGCATTCGTGGCATCTCTCTTGCATGTCCATCGCGTATCCGCCGTGTCAAGAGGGTAGCTCCAGAATACCTTGTGATCTTGTGTCCGCGGGCTGTCGGCAAGGATGGCAGGGTTCGGTGATCCCGGTCCGAAAATTGGCGTCATGTCATGGAGCCCACGGGAGCAGTCATCGCGAGAAGTTACCGTCTCTAACCTTGCGTCTGCTGCCATGGAAACCGTCTCATCCATATCGATATCGAGATATGAGCTCAGATACGGCGTTGATGACGACCTTGACGGTGGGAGACCGATGACGGACCTGATGAGCCTGGTGTCGAGGCAGTAGTAATCCGATCGGGATATGGGGTTACGGTCTGGTGACCCGCGGATGTGATGACTGTACAGCATGTCCATCTGTGTTCGAACACAGGGGACGTAGTCGTCAAAGAAAACTTGGCTGGGTAGAGATATCTATTCGAATATGGCGTATTAGCAGGAGGACCCAGGGTGCAGCTCCCTCGTTAGCCTACCATTCCATAGTATATTAGTTTCAGCTCGAACAGCCGAGTGGCCAAGCTGCCGGTAGAGTACACATTGAAATCTCTGTACAGGCATGCCAATTCTAGGGCGAAAGCAGGGGTCTTCGAGCCAAACCTGCCGTTGAGTGTCATCTGTATACGCCTAAGGGTATCCTTGATTTCGGGGTTCCGGGTCGGATTGAGTGTGATGTCCTTCATGTGTTTTATGGAGATATCGGAAGCCAGGATGCTGCTATTCTGAACTTCACAGACTACCGATAGCTCAACTTCTGCCACCAGGTTATCAGGACGGACATCTATCTCCAAATCGCATAGCATCTCGAGTGAGAGGGGGGGTGGGTCACAAACCATCCAAGAACACGGCAATGAGGGCCAACGGGCCAGTCAACGCTCTCCAGGCCAGCATCTGCGGCACCCCGCCCCCTGACTTCGGCGACGTCTCCTCCGCTGCTGCTGCTGCTGATCCCCTGGTGAGATCCGCAGAAGCTTCGCAGCTCATAGCCGGTGGCTTCCACAGCGCGTCGACAACGTGGAGATAGGCGTCGCGGTCTGGCTGCCCGAGCCACGTGCTGTACGAGACGACCTGTCTGAAGACATCCCAGCAGCGATTCTGGGCGTCGTGCTCTTGTATGCGGAGGGGGGAGGCGTAGAACAGGTGGATCAGGCATATGGTATTGATAGGCGATGGGGGGGAGGAGGGGATGGTGGCAGCAGCGGGCGTCTGACCGCCTCCGTGGCCGTGGCGCTGGACGTCATCCAGCGTATCGAGACCGATTTTGACAACCTGTTCGGGAGGCATTTCAATCAGTTTCTTGGCCAGGTGATTATTTTCTGCAATGTCCTGTAGTCGCTTCCTGGACTCGCCGATATCCGCTTTGAGCCCATGACAGACTGTCTGTATGAGGGAACAGGCGTCGACGAGACGGTCGCTAGCATCCATGAGCGGCCCTGCAAGCTCCCTCGGCTGGGACTGAGGTGTTGATACCGAAAACGGGAAGAAATGGTCGAGCAGATCCATTGGGGGGGCGGCAGTCATCGGTGGCGGCGGCTGTGGGGGAGGAATAGGCGCACGCATCTCAGCGGGCAGCTCCGTAAACGACACATCTGGCCTGTCGGTCGCATGCTGTGGATAGGAATGGCCGTCATCACGATACGTCTGACGGGCCTCCTGAAATGGTGGCAAAGGATCAGGCAGAGCGGCCTTTGATGATGGCAGTGACGGGGCAAAGGGGTTATCGGGGCAGAAGTCTTCGGTCGGGGTCGTCGTGGCGGAATCGGCCATGTGGCCCCATCCTCCCGAGCATGTCGACATGGTGGACATGGTACAGCTCCCGATGCTGCTGGTGCTATTAGTGCTATTTGTCGATCTGACCGAGGAGCTCGGGGCAAGGGTCCTGCTGCGAGACTTGTAAGGCTGGGTTCCAGGTAGTGTGAGACCTGCCGTCTCCAACCGTAGGCTGGGTCTGATATCAAGTGTGTTGTCGCCTGAGGGAGCAGCAGCGGCCGAAGCGGGGAGGACGGAGAGGCTGGAGGGGACGACGGTATCCGATAGCTCGGCGGGATGGTGAACCTTCGACTGAGGCGGCGGCGGCGGCGGCGGCGGCGGCGGCGGTGCCATGGTAAAGGGGTACTGCAGCCCTTCCTGCCATTGGTCATCATCCTGCCGCCATGCCTCCTGAATGTCTACAGCGACTGTTGGGTGTGACACTTCGTCTGAACCGATCTCGTATATCCCTTCGGCCTGGAGCTCGGCCGGGAGCAGTTGATGCTGCGGAAGACCCCGAAGCCCATCCCTCCGAGCGTCAAGGCAGCTAGGCGGGGGACCACCACCACCATCCACGGAAGCGTGGTCGCTGTCGTCGAGGGCACCGCTCACGTCCACGTCCGGCGGGGACCCGGTCCTGGACCGATGGCCAAGAGAGCCTAATAGACTCCTGGCCATGGACACGATCTTCTTCCTTCGGGACAGGTGGGACACAGCAGCCCTTGTCGGTGCACATGACATCATCGAAGCTCTTGGCTGTCCCGCTGTCGTAGCACCAGTATATCACTATACAAAGACGGCATTGCACAAAAGAGAGTTCGTCAAGAGAGAGAAAAGATACAACTAGATTCAGACAGATGCATATAAAAATAACCCCCCCCCTGGAAATGACATCATGTAGGTGTGACGTACAGAGCAAATGATAGGACAAGAGAAGAAGTTGTAGGACTTGATACTGCATTCACATCTACTGCCTGGTAACAGAAGCAAGGTGCTGGGGTCCGACACGTGTAGGACTTTTCTTGAGTGGTGTAGGTTATAATCGTAGGAATCAACTGTTAATGAGCTGAGGTATAGAGAAGCATCAGTGAAAGCACACCACTGAGAGAGGTCCTGCTCTGCTAGATCCGACACCACCCCACACTCAAGGACATCTCTACTTTTACCACTCAACACACCCACATACCTCAAAAGGTAAGTGAGGTGTTGTGTGGTGTCAAGTTCTTCATCACAATTGTAGCAATGGACTCGACGGTTTTATGATCGAGGCCCGCTTACCTAACCTGGGAGTAGTTTATCTATGACAATGACACCTAAGAGTGGATAGGACGGACCTTGATAGCTATTACTCTATCATATTAATAGAATGGTATGAAGGAAGATATCAAACGTTATGCTACTATATATCTGGTTCATTAGTATATATATATACGAAAACGTATATCCCTCATAGTTATTTGTAGCCTTTACCTATTCTATCTATTCCTGTCAAGTGCTGACAAATCTTGTGATGAACGCTTGCTGTCTTTCAGCACAGTAGGAGCACTACTATACAATCTCTGATATCAGGTTTATTTGGACGAGCGGAATGCAAAGTGCCCAATGCAGGGCGCATATCTGTACATGTACACGTGCATTTCTTGCGGTTCCATCCAATACCCTTCTCTTGGCTGTGGGTAGTCCTAAGCCTCATCTGCCATGACCACTCGCTGTGAGTCAGACCGAGCATCGTGAGTCAGACCGAGCATCGAGTATTCTGTACTGGTTGTTGAATCAAGTATCGAGTGTAGCTACAAGTAGTGATGAGCCAAGCAAAGCCAAGGAAACCAAATATCGACAAAGGAACTAATTTCGCTGAATGCAGTGAACGAGCCAGCAGCCGCAAGGCAGTCTACCAGCCCCAAAAAATATATAACAGAACGAGAAGAAGAAGAAGAAAGAGAGAGAGAGAGAGAGATAGAGAGAGTGAGTGAGAGAGAGTGAGAGAAGACAGGGAAGAAAAAAAAAGAAAAAGACAGGAACGAAAAAAAAATACAAATGTTGGTTGATACTTGTTACAGAGTTTCAGGTTCAGATCAGCATCTTACCCCGGTTTTTGCCACTTGCCATGACTCATACCACACACGTTCCCTCCCTGGCACGATCTGGCAAGACTAACACAGCCAGCTCAGATCTCAGCCTTCCATACTAGATGGAGACTTCCCCATGGCCTCCTCCAGAATCTTTAGTTTCGCCTGCGTCACTCTCAACGCCTCTTCCAGCTCCTTGGTGTCCCTACGGCCGTCTCTGTACGGCCGCTGCACTCTTCTCCGCGGATGCGCCCCGTCAGCATACATCCTCTCCATACCCGTCCTCTCCTCCAACCATTCCCAGAGGTTGCTGTCCTCCCTGCGCCACATCTCATCGTAGGCTGCCATCCTGTCAGGGCCCCCGCGGATCGGTCCGTATCCGTAATGACCCGGTCCGCCGGCTCCCCCGACGCCGCCCGTGCCGCCGGCGCCGGCTCCGCCCCCCCCCTTAGGTGAGAGGCCGAAGCCGAACCATGCGGCCACCAGGAGGCCGACGAGGAGGCCGTACATGACGTTGCCCGTCAACAGCGGCCGTACGATGTCGAATAGCGGCTCGGCTACCGACCGTACGGGCTCGAGGGGACCCCAGTCGGGTTGGACCGCGTTAGAGTTGGACCCCGACTTCTCGGCCGACTGGAGACTCGACTGCGCCGCCTTGCCCTTCTTGCCCTTCTTCTTGCCGCCGGCGCCCTTGCCTCCGGCTCCGTTGGTGCCCGTGTTGGCCCGCGATCTAGACGACAGGGCGGCGCGGATGCTGGAGAAGATGAGCTTGCAGTGTTCTGCTTGGCCGTCGCTGGCGGCTTTCTCGACCGGGCCTGTGATCCGGTGCGCACTCGTCAGCTCGGATGTTGCATACCACGGTTGGATAGGAAGATTGCGTGAGTGGGATGTGGAGACGTACCCTTGATCCAGCTCTTGCCAGACCACTCGATCGTGCAGTTGACAAATACCCTGGTGCTGTTATTCTCTGCCCAGGAGAGGCAGTATTTTGTCTTGACGACAAAGATGTTGCCGCTGGGGACGTCGGGCGTCTGCGTGGCCATGGTGATGTTGGCCGCCTTTTCGTAGTCGAGCGAGTCGAGCGTCTCGGTGATGATGCACTTGGCCGACTTGGGGCCGATGGTGGAGTTGAGAGGCTTGATGTACGTGTAGGTGTGGCTCCGGTTGTCCAGGCTGAGGCCCTTCTTGTCTTCAATCTGCACGTCCATGCACTTGGAGTCGGCCGACAGGAACTTGGTCATGAAGGCGGCCGAGTTGGCACCAAACATGAGGCTGTACACCTGTCCCAGCGGCGCGGCAATGACGTCGTCGCCGACCACCTTGTCGTAGTGCGTTGCCGAGTCGCCGCAGTCGGTGGGCGCGTGCGTCGCAGGCCCCGGGAAGTCGACCGCGGCGGCGGCGGCGGCGGAGGCTCCTCCGGCTGCTGCGGGCATGTCCTTGACGGCCGCGGGGGCGCCGTTGGCGGCCGCACCCGACGCCTTACGCAGGAGGGGCTTTTCGGCTTCGGCGCCGTCGCCGTTGAGGTCGGCTGTCGAGTTGCGGCCGGCTGCCAGGTCGCTGTCGTCCTCGACGTAGAAGTCGTCACTGTCGTCGTCGTCTGTCTCCTCTTCCGTGCCGGAGTCGAGCTGCGCCTCGCCCCCCTCGAGGGCTAGGGGCTCATCGCCGTCGAGCTTCTCCGTCTTGTCGCCGCCGGTGCCCTCGACCTTGACGCCGTTGAGGGTGCTGGTGAGGGTGGGGTGTCCGAGCTTCCAGATGTTGACGATGAGGTCGTAGGTGGCGTCACGGCTGGTGAAGCTGGCAAAGATGTGCTTGGCGTGCAGGGTGGAGATCATCAGGCCGTTCTTGAACAGAAGGGCCGTGCTTCTCTTCTCGACCGACATGATCTCATCGAAGCTCATGACGAGCGTGGTCGACCAGCCCAGGATGTTGCTGCTGAAGCATAGGTGACCCTCAGACACGTACAGGCGGCCGTGCGCGAGGATCTCCCTCTGCAGCGCGCAGCTGTAGTCCTCGATGAGGTAATCATCGTCGGGGACGCTCTTAAAGACGTTGTGGAAGTCGCGGTTCCTCTTCTTACTAGCAATGGCAAATCCCGTGAGCTTGGGCGTGCTGACGCTGGCGGCCGGATTCTGGGGCAGCGGGCTGGTGGCGGCGCCCGACAGCGGCGCGCCCACGACATTCGCGGTGTTGCTGGTGGTGACGGAGCTGCCCCTCTTCCTATGAGCCTTGCGCGAGCTCCGCAGGCTGCCGCTTTGGCGGAGGGCGACCTTATCGTTCCCGTCTGGCGAAGGCGTGGCCGACCTGCTGGGCGGGCCGTTGAGCGAGTGAGGCCTACTCGACGACCCCCGAGAGGCGAAGTCCTGGTTGTCGGTGGGCGCCGACTCGGAGCGACCCCTGTTGTCGAGATCAGCGAACCTAGCGCTGGCGGGGGAGGCGAGGGCGCTCGGAGGGTCGACGACACCTAGCTGGCTAAGGCTGAGGTCACCGGCACCCAGCGTCCGGATGGCTGAATCCTTCTGGTTGTCCATGGTATCCTGCGTTTCCGTCAACGACGGCGACGACACAGACGGCTCGGGTTCGGCCTGTTGCTTGCTGTCGCCACCTGCGCGGGCGACCGACTCGGTGGACAGGGTGGCTGATCGTTGTAGGCCTCCCCTGTTCGCTCTGATGTTGATACCGGTGCCTATATTGGTGGCGGCGCTCTGAGCGGCCGAGAGCATAGACGAGAAGAAACCGGAGCTGGGGCTGAAGGGCACCTCGTCGCCTTCGGTTGCGGGCGTGAGCGGGTTCACCGAGATGTGGGAGAGCTTGCTGGGCACGACGGTGGCCGACGCGGATGCGCTCCGTTTATGCGAGTTTACAGCTTCACGGGAGGTGGTGCCATCGGCGGGGGGCGAGCCTAGGGCCTGCGGCTTCCAGGTGGCGGCGGTGGCAGGCGGCCGGGGTTGGAAGCCGTCTTCGTCGTCGGAGGGCAGGGTCGGGGTGGGAGGGGTGTTGACGATGGCGGGCGACGAGACTCCGATGACGGGAGGCAGGGTCAGAGGATCGACCTTTGATTTCGATGAGGGGCCAAGGTCGGGATGTTTGGCAGAGGAGGTCACGGCATGGGAAGTTTTCGGTCTCGCAACGTTTCCCGAGCCAGACTGGGCGGGATCTCGCAGAGGCGATTTCGGCAGAGATGGAGGGGGAGAATCACGAGGCGAGGAAGCCTGAAGAGCTGACGAGGACGGGTCGAAGCTCGGTCGCGAGGAAATGGGAGGCCTCGAAGGCGATCTGGCGAACGGGTGTGTTCGGTTAGAGAGCTCAAGCAACGATGACGACGGATGGACTGAGAAAAAGAGAGCGAGCGTAGAATGGAGGAGAAAAGAGGAGAGAGCGAGGGAGAGAGAGAGGGGAGATGAAAGGAGGGTGAATGCAAAAGAGCGGTATGATGGTGAAGGTATCGAACAGTGGTATCAGAAGAAGGATAAGGGGTATCTGGCAAGGTGAGAGAGGAGTAATAGTAGGGGAATGGACTGAATTGGTTNGAGGAATGTGACGAAGGAATCGTTGATGACTGCTGCCCAGAGGCAGTGGCAGTGGGGGGGGGTAAAAGAGGTGGTAGAGAGGTAGTGGAGAGCTCAGTGGAGAGAACTCAGTGGAGAGCTCAGTGGAGAGCTCAGTGGTCAATGGTATAGATAATAGTGATGATACCGGGACGGCGCAACACCCGTACTCGTAATCCGTAATCCGTACTTTTCGTACTGTATTACGTGGGACGAGTACTCGCACTGCTCGCTCGCACTATTCCGGTACTAGGTTGGTTGGTATCCATGGATCATAGACCGATCGTAGACCGAGGAGTGCGGTGTAGCCCGTGATAGCCTGTAGGTACGAGAACGATGCCAAAGGTAGCGTAGTAATAATATCACTAAGCATCAGTGGTAATACCGAGCACTCCGCAGTAAATAGCAGCCGTAGCAGTAATACGGCCCCATATTACTAGGACATGCCTGGCACTCCGTATTACCTGTAATATTGCCGGCATCCGCACTTGCTGGAAAGCCTCAATGATATTACGACGTAATACTCCGTACTCGTAATAATAGCTGTGGCTGGATCAGGGGAACAGCCGAACAGGGGGGGGGATGATGGAAAGCTCCTGGGAGGAACCTCGATGGAGGAGGATTGATGATGGCCCGTGGGTGGGTGCACGCCCCAGCGGCCCTGGGTGGAGGTCCAGTGGATTGAGACTCGAGAGCCCCCCCCCCCCGAGAGACCTGGAACAAGCCGCCAAGGAGAGCTGCCCCACCAAACGGATGCCATGCGCAATTCAATGAAGTTGAACCAAGTAATAAAAAGAGAGCAATGAATCAGAAATCAAGAGAAGACGGAGAGAAAATACTCACCGAGACCTTGATGCATCCCTTGATGCATGACTGGATCCAGGTCTAGACGACCCCTTCCTGAACATGGCAGACAGGCTACCCCTCGACGCAGACGGAGACGGTTCGGGCCCCGACTCGAATGATCTGAAGCTGCCGCTGTCATCGCGCGAGGAGTGGCGGTTGTCTGCTTCGCCATGGCCATCGTCATCGAGGTCGTGTGAGTATTGTTGCTGCCCGTCATCTTCACCGCCCAGATTGGTGGAGGTTGTGCCGTCGCTCTCGGTGGTGTCGGATCGTTGCTGCTTGCGTCGTCGCTGCTTGGACGCGATGGCCCGGGGGAACAGTTTGCCAAGACCGTCGCGACGAGCGGTGCTGGTGGATTCCATATCTGCGTGTGCGCGTGCGTGTTGACTGGGTGTCGCCGTGATGGTTGGGGAATCTGGTGATGTGGGAATTATAGAGACGTCAGGAGGTGGCTCACTGTCTCTCTCTCTCTCTCTCTCCCTCTCTCTCTCTCCCTCCCAGGTGGCCGGTAGGAAAGTTAGTCGATGACGAGGTGTAGCAATTGCCAAAAGAAGAGGAAGAAAGGGAGGCGAGGAGGAGGAGGAGGAGGAGGAGCTGTCGTCGTCGTCGTCGTCGTCGTCGTCTTAATACACAGACTTTACACTGAGGCCGCCGTTGTCAATCGGAGGGGTGGGAGGGGTCAAGATGAGGGTGGATAGGATAGCAAGAGAGTGTGAGGGGGGAAAAGGAGATTGGTGAATTGAACGGGGAGGAGGAGAAGAGGAAGAAGAAGAAGAAGAAGAAGCCGTCATGTCACGTATGGATCCCAACCCCAACGGCCCTTGTATTGCTAGTAGCAGTACGGGTATTTTATCTGTATTATTACTCTGTCCACGTATACATGTATTGCTCGCTTCTCGGTCTGACAGTCTCTACCTGTACTCGTAGTCTCGTACTCTACATTCTGCTCGTACCTCCCTCCGTACTGCGGGGCTCTTGACAAACTTCATAACAGAGAGTCTTGATATCATTCGTAGATGCTGGATCGATTGACTGGCCCCTTGACGGACCATCATCACACAGTCCACTTCTGTACCTTGCCACATGTACTATGGCCATTACTTACGAGTACGAGCACTCGTAGTTAGTACTCCGTACTCGTAGCAGCAATCCGTACTACTAGTTGTATTCCGTGCGTCGCAGTCGGGCATCGTGGTTTCCGATTCCCTCTACTTTCTTGTCACGTGCCACCACCCTGGCCAGTGCCCGATCCCACCTTCATGGCTCTCTAGACGGACTCCAACTTCTCTCCATCAAGTATCCCTTCTCTGAAACCTAGTGGACCGCTTCCGACATCACGGTGGCCCCATCCTACTCTGCATGGTGTGCTCGGCTATCCCACGATACGAGCCGGCGATGCAACGGCTGCACCGCCCACATCCTGGTGCGGTGGTCTGTTAGTGGATGATTGGACCCGCGGCGATGCTTACAGGACACCCATCTGCAGTACCCGTGATGACGGTGGTCAGCACAACGTCCGCCATGCAGGGACCGGCCAAGTGACGCACCTCGGGGAATGGGTTCATAACGCATTTTCTTCAAGTCGTTCGGTTTGACGCGAATGGACACAGACAACGGGATTGAAGAATCCGGTTGCGGTGGCCGTGGAAGACTTCGAGAAGGGCATTGAGACCTTCAGTGTCCGTGATGAGATGGTGTAGTAACTAGGATCGCGGGTGTGACGCCTCGAACGGTCCCTTTTCTGACACCAGAACAACCATTGAGAGATGTTAGACATCGTTCGATGGTCTATCGCGGCAACAAGCCGTGGACAAACCGACAACACTCGGTAGACGGAAAACGGACAACAGATGACGGTTCACGGCCCCACACGGCCACAGCTCCCATGGTTCCATGGTTCTACGGGAGCTGCGGGGCACATGGACGACCCGGTAGAGAGACTCTCAGCACAAGATGACTGACATGCCAAATTCAGAGTGGCTACCTTTCAAGACGCTTTAGGGGGGAGTGAGAGTAGACGCTTCAGATGCTTGGAGGACCTCGAGAGAATATAGGGGTGGAGAGATCGTGGGGACTGCTACCAATGGCACATACATGCAGGTCTCCGAGGCAATGCGCTGATGCAGCCGGCTGGCCATCCGAGTCGGCCGAAGCTACCTGGTGGAAGCTATCCCCTGACCCAGTCAGCTTGGAATATCCGCAGCATCCCTCTTACCGTACAAGCGTGGATCCCATGCAACGTTCCAGGGACAGATGAGATCAGCCATATCCAACAAGATGCCACTGCCGCACCAGTTTTTGGGGCCGCGGCGGTGCGAGGCAAGACCCGGAGAGGCGGGAGAGATCTGGTTGGGCCTGGCTGAATATGTCCACGCCGTATGCTTCGGAGCCGCGGCCAGACATACGAGCTTTGATCTAGGGCATATATGCCTTGCCGGATATTTTGACTTTCCATACAATACCATCGAGCCCGGCGCCGAGACGCCTGACAGAGTCTACGTCTCCCTCCAACCCGAACTGCCTCAGCAGGGGGTGACGTAGATTAGCCCGGGAGCAAGTGGTGACAGTATCATCCACGAATGCATCGTCAAGAAAGGGCCGTTGCTCGTCAGCTTCGCGCCTTTGTAGAGTCTGTGGCTGCCGAGGCTTCCACGGGCCTGCTCTATACGCCGACATGAAGGATGGCGAGATGGCGAGGTGAACGCTATGAAGGCGGGCTGGATGGTGGTAAGATAGAGGACGGCAGGCTTGGAGGCGGATCGGGATATGTGTCAAGGGAAGAAGCTTATTCCTTTCCAGCCAAGGAGGCAGCCACAAGAGTTGACGGAGAGCCGAGCGTTTCCGGGTACCTGAGTCATGTATGACAGCTGTGCAGAATGATAACATGGGTATTTCCGTGCCCTCAATGACGGTGGTTGTTCTTCTTGATCCCTCCATCTTAGACAGAAACCCGCAGTGTTCTCCCAGTTCACGTCTCGCCGTCCGGGGTCGGAGTTCAGCATCGCCATATTACACTATCTTGGTCCGTCACCAAGTTCGTGTCGTCGTAAGCGTACTGCACACTGTACAGATTAGAGACGTCTGCGGAGATTCATGGCGAATAAGTGCACACTTATTCATCTTCATCCCTTCCATGAGCAGACACTCCCTTCCCCTCCTTTCCATGAACCCGTTTTCTGTCGTCTTGGCCGAAGAAGATAGCCGCCGAGGGGCGTTAGTGTTGGATGGTACATCGGCTATGGTCCTGGCCGGTGCACGAGAAGGTGTGACCTTCGCTCTCGAGGGCTGAGAAGAGGTGCCCTAGGCATCCATTTTCAGGCCCCAGGACTGCGACACACGCACTTCCTCCGTGTTGTTATGCAGTGACAACATCAGCCCTTTTTACCGAGCTACCGGTACTTCGTAGACTCTTTACCGAATGAGTCTTGGACATGTAAGGCCGTCATATCATCTACGCAGTGATATTACCGAATGACTGACTCCTGGTCCGTTTGACCCTCAGTTCACGGGACAGGGGGTCGTTGCAGTTGCAGCCCGGACTTTTGCGTACCGATAATACCGTAATGCATAATCTGCACATACGGAGTACATACTCACATACTCGTATATACGGAGTAATGATACATGAACGAGCTTTATCACTCCCTTCAGCCCCCTGTCCTATTCCTCTTATCTGCAACGTCGAAACATCAGACAGAACTCGCCAAACCACCGGCCTCTTTCTCACGAGTGAGGACAGCGTCATATTAAAAAGTATTTCCACTACAACCCCATCAACACTTTGCATGCACAGCAGTGATGCATACGAGTACATACGCCATCGGACTTGACCCATGGAGCCTGGCCGGTCTGCATCTTGGCCTGGCTTCTCTTCTCCCCGCAACATACCCTTTCCCCACTCCCCTCTGCTGTTTTGCGTACCCATCAATCCAGTAACCTAACCCATCATGTTATATCATTGAGTGACTCGTACGGGCACGCTGTAATCGTCGTCATCTCCCATCGCTCTGCTCTAATTCGTAATCTAATCCTCCATGCTCCTGTAATCTGTACAGAATACGCTGTTCCGTTTCTGGATCCGAAGTCAGGAGGGCAGTTGCTTCCATTCATTACAAAGTTCTGAACAAGCTTACGTCACGCCACCCACCATCCAGATACCTGCACCTGGAGACAGAGAGAGCCAAGACAAAAAAAAAAACTCTCTCTTCAACTCCATCTCCAATCTCTCCAGCCTCCCGCCAACCTCCACGCAGACGAACAAGAGAGAAGGACCGGGATAGCCTCATGAGTCGTAACCCACCCCCGCCATGGAGCCCTCGCCGCTCCTGAAAGCCCACGATCATGCGCGCGCCGCCGCCGTAGCCACCCGCCAGGCCTCGGATACGACCATCGCCATCAGCGAGCACACCCAAGCAGCCGGCGAGTTCGCCTCAGCTGCCTCCAACACCTCGAGCGTCGAGGCCCTCCGCATGCTCAAGCTTCTTGAGGACCATCACCGCCGTCTGGCCGAACTTCTCAACTTACCCGCACCCCAGCAGCAGCAGCAGCAGCAGCAGCAGCAGCAGCAGAACTCAGCTCAGCATGCGGGAGACGACGACGCCACCAACCCCTCGGACGAGACAAAGGCCGGCGGTGATGGCGCCACCACCGACGATGGCGGGAAGGCGGCAGCTGCAGATGCCCGGGCAAAGACGGCACAGCCGACGCCGCACCAGCAGAAGCAGCCGACGCCGCACCGCCGTCTTGCCTCGCGCGAAATGTCATCGTCCATCGCCAGCAACCTCGCCTCGGCGAGGGGGATCCGTTCATCCAGGTACCGCGGCCAGCCTCTCACCCCGAGCGTGTCCAACGACCAGGCCCCGGGGAACATAGATTCCCGGTCTAGACGCTACGGCTCCGAGGGCAAGATGCACAACATCATGGAGAGTCAGCAGCAGTCACCGGGGAAGCCTACCTGGGTGCCCCCCATGCCTAGTACCTCGCCGCCACCGCACGGCAAGCCGTCGTCCTCGTCCTCGTCCTCACGCCGCGTCCCGCCTCCGACCGACAGCAACACCAAACCGGCAGACGACGGCGGCTACACCAAGTTCTACAACACGTTTGGCAGCCTCATGAACCGCATCTCGGCACCGCTGGCCTTTGCAGGGCTACCCCTCGTCCAAGAGGAATCCATCGCCGAGTCTGAGGAATCGGCATCTGCGGAGCAGCAGCAGCGGGTGCGGCAGCCATCACCGGGGAAGAGCCGCAAGACTCAGGCTATCTCCCCGCCTCAGTCACGGTCCTCGGCCGCGGCCCACGACGCCGACCTGTCCAAGATCTATTCCCGGGCCACCATGCGTGCCCTGGAGAATGAGGGCTATGGCGCCAGCGAGTCCTTCTACGTCGTCCCCACGAGCGGCCACACCATCTCGTACGCCAACATCCTCAGCTACGCCGAGAAGGAGAAGCGACGGCTCGGGGGCGGCACCAAACCCACGGGCTCGGGCTCTGCCTCGGTCCTGAGCACCATGCGCGAGGGCCCGGAGGACGACCAGGATGATTTCGTCGATGCCCGCGAGGTGCCAGCGGCCCTATCCGCCGGCGCCCAGCGCCGCGTCGGCCGCGCCCGCACGGACAGGGAGCTCAGCAACACCATTGAGGAGCTCTACACCGAGAACAAGTCGCTCAAGGACATGCTCGATAAGCTGACCAAGAGGCTGCACACTTTCGAGGCGAGCGCCCAGAAGATGTCGGAGAGCTTCAGTCTCATGAGGCCAGGCTCACCCGTCCGCACTCACGGCGGATCTGCCGGCGGCAGCAGCAGCAAGGCCGAGGTTCTGGAGGCCGAGCTTGCCTCTATGAAGAAGTATGTCGATAGGCTGGAGAGGGATAACAAGAAGATGGCCAAGACGCTCGAGAGGTACCGTGAGCAGTGGGAGACGCTAAAGGCTGGCGCCAAGGCGCGCAGAGAAGCTCAGGGTGGTGGGGAGAGCGGAGAGGAGGCGCGAACTACCGTCAGCTGAACAATCCACCTATCTATACTAGCAATTAACATTAGTTGAAGACAAATCACACGGGCGTTTCTTCTTCTCCTGTTAAGCGAGACATATCGGGGGCAAGAAAAAAAATCCATACACAACAGTTAGTTCCACCAGAAGCTGACACTGAAGCTAACACTAAGACTCCGAACATAGTGCCACCAGCCCATGGGTATGAGCAGCGTGTCCCCAGGGCCGAGGATACACTCTCTGTACTCGACACCCCTAAGCTCACTCCTCATGCTCTCAAGCGCATCGTCATCATCACCGTCGTCGTCACCGGGCTCGTCCCACCCCTCTACGATGCCTAGGTCCACGGCGCTCGTGTTGCTCATGTCGACGCCCTGCTCGGTAGGTCTGGGCCGCATGGTGGGCGTAGCCTCGGGCGGGTACAGCCTCACGTACTTGGTCCCGACGACCTGGCACAGCAGGTTGTGGTAGCCGTCGGTGTGGAGCGGGGTGATTGTGCGCGCGGGGCCGAACCACGCGTTCAGCCGCGGAGAGCCGACAGGCGGCTGGTCTCGTGCCGGGCCTCCCGGGTGACGGGGTACGTCGGCCCAGCAGAGGTCCGGGATGAGTATGTCGTTGCGGAGCCGGGGAATCTGGCGGAACAGATTGTGCTGGGCGAGGTAGCCGACGGCCTGCCTCCGGCTGCCAGCGTCGTCGCTGCTGAGCACGTAGCGGTCCAGAAAGCTGCCAAACGATGTGAGTTCCTGGCCCCAGTCGGCGTCGACGTAGCTCCGCCCTACCTCGACGGGCACTAGGCGGCGACCGCCAAGCGTGCGGGACAGGAGGTACTCCCTGCTTCTCCAGGGGCGGTCCGTCAGAGCAGGCCAGTGCGTCGTGACGTCGGTCAGGACGAGGGGCTTGGGCCGTCCGCTGCCGCCGGCATCCATGTACGCCTCGAACCTGTCTACTGTCCAGCCCCGGTGCCGGGGACACTCGTGCGAGGCCGACAGCGCAGGACGGCCGTACGGCTCGTCGGCTGGGAAGAGGTCATCTGCGCCGTCCTTTCTCTGCCGCTTGGCTGGACGCCGATCGCCCCCCTCGGCCAGGAGCACATCCTCGATGAGCTGCATCGTGTCTCCGATCCAGCCGTCTCCGAGCGACGCGCTCTGCCCCCCCGTCGTGATGAGCGCCCGGTCCAGATTCTCCGTCACGGGACTCCACGGGTCTGCGGCCTGGCATGTGTCCGACAACCGCAGCAGGTGCACGTAGCTCGTCAGCACGAGCGTGTCCGTGTACATGCGGCGCCAGGGATCCGGCACGCGATCGTAGCGGAAGGCGTAGAAGCGCGTCATGGCTATGGAGGCTACGTCGTCCAGACGCCGGAGGAGAGCATCCGTCTCGCCTGGAGGGGGCGTGGCGAGCAGCTTCTTTGCTTGCCTCCTCACGAGGTCCTCGACGCCCTTCAAGGCAGCTGAGCCTGTCTTGCGACCGGCGGGACCCTTGGCGGCGGCTGTGGGCCCCTCGACGGTGGGAAACCCGACCGAAATGTCCGAAGCTGCACCGTGGTATCGCCGGAGCAGCTCGTCGCGACGTGTTTCCATGGCTCGCAGTGCCGTGCCGCCATGTACGTTCGTTGGTGGCGTGCCCAATGTGTGGTAGATGGATGGTGGATACTTGAGGCTTAGGATTTGCACCGTTACTGGTTGCCAAGCCCTGAGACGCACACACACCCCCGGTTCAGCAAGTACATCCTCTTTGTAGGATTCGAAGCATCGTTGTTCCTTATGATGGTATCTTGCCTCTATAGAACTGTCTTTTCCCTCGCCATCCTAGCTACTTCTTGCGGCCAGACATTGCGAGTATGGCATCCATCGTCGATCAACATCACGTGGCAGGGTCATCGGCGTTCGTTGCAGGGCCGAACTCCGAGTTCCAGGAAAGCCGAACGCCCCCTTCCCACTGAGGTCGTTCAAAGTATCCGAGGTCGCTCTTTCTCTTTACATCGTCGCGTGTAATACATGTATCATAGTTACCTGCAACGAATCGACGGCACAGCAAACTCCTCGAAATATCAGAAGGGGGGGTGGAAGACATCCAATGGTTTCCAGTCCCAAGAGGTCGACTTCCCAGACATATGGACGGGTAGGTCAGGCTCAGTCAGTTACTAACCGCTTGGGGAATTAAGAAGAGAAGGAGAAGAAGAAACCCATGGGTTTCTTTTCTTTTCCTGTCTATTCTTCCTTATTTTTTCCTTTAGCTCCCCCTCCCCCACACCTCTCACCCAATGCTAATCACAACCCAAACATCTCTGTAGGCATGCTTGAATTGCTCCCGGTCCAAGTGCAAATGCGTGCCAAGAAGCGGCTCGCGACGCTGCGAGAGGTGTCACCGTCTCGACAAACAGTGCGAACCTGGAACGGGGACTCGAGCTATCAGCGCGAAGCGGAACAATCCCATCTCCCGCATCGACCAACTTGAAGGCAAGGTCGATGAGCTCGTCTCTCTTCTGGGATCGTCATCCGGTCACGGACGCGCAGAGAGCTCCTCGGACGCCAATGCCGTCTCCTCCAACACCAATTCGAACCCATCCTTCATAACACCCTACGGCTCCAACTACAGCTCACCGGCAGGACTGTCCGCCACCGGTGAAACCGAGTCATCCGTGCCATCTAATGCTGCTGCTTCTGCTGCTGCTGCTGCCACATTTCATCCGCTATCGTCATCGTCACTGTCTGGCTTGCTGGACCCGAGACTGCCGGAAAGCGAAGCACAGAGCTACTACGTCGACTTTCAAAAAACTCACCTCAAGTATTTTGCCTTCCTGCATCTTCCAGAAGACTACCGTCAACTGCGCCGCCAAAGGCCCTTTCTCTTCCTCTGCATCATGACGGCGGCATGCCCGTCCATGAACAAGAAGTTTGAGCTGGGCGAGAAGGCCAAGAGGGCGCTGACAGACCACATCTTCCTGGGGAATCACCCGGGTGCTGTCAATGTCGACCTGCTGCTCGGCCTGCTTGTGTTCCTATGCTGGGGACGTGACTATCTTCTCATGGGAACGGCCACCAGGGTCCCGCGCTTCACACAGATGGCCATGACGCTGGCATTCGATATGCGCCTCAACAAACCGCCACAGGAGGAGTTGAGTATCCTGCCTGGTGGACCCGGTGCCGGCACTACGACGACTCCTCGAACCATGGAGGAGAGACGTGCTGTTCTGGCAACTTTTGTCATGAGTTCTGTGTGGGTCGTCACCTAGTTACAAACAATTCCGTCGTCGCCAATCGAATACCATGTGCTAACTTGTCGAATCGTCAAAACCGAGGGGGTGGGGGGGAAAAGCGTCGCCTCATATTCCAGCCAGATCGACGCCATGCAATGGACCCCGCACATGGATGAATGTCTAGAGGTCATGAGCCAGAGTAAAGAATGCATCTATGACGAGATCTTTGCCTTGCAAGTTCGGGCACAACGAGTGGCCGGCGACGTAGAAAGCGCCAAGGGCACCGTGATATCATCGTCACCAAACTTCTACATGTCGCTCCTTAAACGAAGTCTAGGCGATATCAGAACCAGTATAAGGCCGGAACTGAAGAGGCACGGTGAGCACATCCCCCCTCTGTCATCAGAGACCCCGGTATACCACCCCCCCCCCCGCTGACCCAGCCTACAGACGTCCTCTTAGCCTCGCTGTACTACGCAGAACTGAGCATATTCAGCCTGATCCCGTCGATGAAGGATGCCCCGGCCTTCCAAAGGCTCGAGTGCCTATACTCGTGCCTCGAGACGTCGAAGCGGGCCGTCGACGACCTCCTCGCCATACCGGCTGATGAGCTGATCGGCGCGTCGTTCCCCTTCTTCGTCTACATAGCGCGGTACATCATCGTCCTCTGGAAGCTGTCGACGCTCAACGATCCCAACTGGGACACAGCCCTCGCCCGGTCCACGGTCAACGTCGTCGACGTGCTCAACCGCCTCATCGACAAGCTACAGCACTCCAAGATCTCGCGGCCTCACGAGCCGGGCGACTGCTGGCCCCAAAAGGCCGTCATGCTCTTCGCCAAGACGCGCGATTTCTGTGCCAGCAACATGGCCAACCCACCTCCCGCACCTCCTCCTCCTCCTCCCTCCGGTCCTCAACCGTCAGGTCAGGAAGCCAACGCAGACGGAGGTCGTTTCCATATCAACACCGCCGCCAACAGTAACAACAACGGCCAAGGTCAACAGCAACCGGTCGACATGGCTACTGCCGCCACATTTGACGCTGCCCTCTGGCAGGCAGACTGGCCGGCAGATGATTTTACCTGTAGTTTCCTGGGCGAAAACTGCTTTATATAATGAAGAGCACCTGTCATGATCTTGTGTCCCCCCCCCCTGGCCTTTTTTTTTTTGCATTCTAGCATACACCACCACACACACACACACACTTGAAAAACCACCACAAATCAAAGAAAAATATATCCACACGGATTTGATAAGGACTTTTTTTTTATAGAAAACGCACAGAATTATTAATACTCCATTTCGACCTGCCAAATTGTCGTCGCCGCCTCTTTCTTTCTATGGGGTTTATGATCTATCAACAGGCCAACTAGCAAGATGGGCGTTCGGAACCACCCCCCCCTACGATTAAATCCCGCGTGAGAGCACGGATGTTCGGTACTCAGAGATCTGAAGTAGGCGGCACCTCATAATACTATAGACTGCTTCGGATTCTTACCTCGGCCAGTCGTTGCAAATCACCCCAGTCCGTTATAACCATGGGGGTTGAAAAAATGTGTTGATTTTTTTTTATTTCCCCTGCTCCTCCTCCCCCCCCCCCCCCCCAAAAAAAAAATCATTTGGGTAGTGAGTGGCTCTTGTACAGAGAACAATAATAGTACATGGAATACATATATACACGACTATAATTGATGTCTTTCTCACCCCTCTCTTTCTCTTGTACATTTCTAACGTTTGCTTTTGTTTGGATCTCGTAGTGTTCAGCACGTCCACACTCCTACAATCCCATCCCGCCTTCCCTCGACGAGGTAACCCTCACGTACACCGACGCGCTCGACAATGGCGGGCGTCTTGTCCATCTCTTCGGCGGCCTTGATCCCCGCGCCGCAGTCCCACTGGCGACCTTCGACTTTGTCGTAGACCTTGACTACGTCCTCGCCCGCGGCGCTGACGATGCGGCGCGCGTCAAACATCATGCTCGTGACCGGGTTGTCGTAGGCGTAGGCGTCGTGTATCGAGCCAGTACGCAGGTCCCATATCTATCGTCACAGGTTAGCTATCGGTACAGGGAGAAGGGGCGGGAAGGGGGCGGGGGAGGGGATAGAAGACTATAGGCTGAAAGACACGTACCCTGATACTCCTGTCTGCGCTGCCGGTGACGAGATGCATGTCGTCAAACTGGAGACAGGTGACGGCGTCCGTGTGACCGACCAGGCTCCGGTGCACCTGTCCGCTACGGAGATCCCAGAGACGGACCATGCCGTCAGCGGTTCCGCAGGCTAGGGCTGACTCGAAGACCTGGAGGGCGCCGACGAAATCGGTGGTGCTCGAGGTGGCGCGTCCCGTTGGCCTCCACGTGCTCTCTGAGGCTCCAATCGAGGCCGACGCTTGGGCGGCCGCCCACATGACGTCGAGGGTCTGGACGCAGCGACCCCTCTCGAGGTCCCAGTGGCGGATCGTCTTGTCGGCCGATCCGGAGACGAGCACGTCGCCGCGGAAGTGCAGGGCTGTGATCTCACCCACGTGGGCCTGCAGGGTGAAGAGCTCGCAGTCGTCCATGCTACCCTCGGGCGGGTCGATAGGCTGGTCATCCGGGTTCTCCCAGGCCATGTCGTCGTCGTCACCCTCGCCGTCCCGGTCACCGTGCGGGTCGTACCGCGCCTTGCTCAGGTCCCACAGCTTGATGGTGGCGTCCATGGACCCCGTCGCCAGGATGTTATCCTCCACCTGCAGGGCACGTACCGACGCCGTGTGGCCCTCGAGGTGGCCCATGCACCGCCCAGCGTTGAGATCCCACACGCGAACCGTGTCGTCGAGAGCGGCCGTCACCATGGTGCCGAAGGGCGCATCAAAATCAAGCGCCGATATGGAGTCCTGGTGCGCTCGGATCTCGCGTATCGATGACCCGGGTTCAAAGTGCTCGTGCAAGATGGGCATCGACTTCCTGCGATGTACCTTTTTCGATTTCCGCGACAGCGTGCCCTTCTCCGAGGGGATCTTGTCGTAGACCGACTGCGTCATGAATCCGTGGTCGTCGGCGTCGCCCACCAGGTCCTCCTCTTCCTTGGTAGCCGTGTTCCGGGCAATCAGCTCGGCCTCGTCGGCCTGAGCTTGAGCCTCTTCAATCTTGGCCTCGATATCGACCACTAGGGTGTGCAGGTCAGCATTTACGGTACCTCAAGTCGTCTTTGGAGGGGCTTCCGGTGAATGCAACTTACGGTCGTGCTCCAGCAATGCCTCCTCCTGCTCAAAGCCAGCCAACCTCTCAAGGACAATTCTCCTCATGCCGTGGAGGTTGGCAATCTTGTCGTCCACTTCGCGAATCTCGGCGCTGGCCATGTTCTTGCGAACATTTAGGATCTCGAACTCGTGCATCATAGAGGCCTTTTCCTTCTTCAACTGGTGTAGGCGTTTGGGATCGCTGCCGTATAGTTGTTGGGCGCCGTCGCTGTCGTCTATCATTTTCCGGCCCCTAGACACGTGCCGGTGGTGATGTTGCTTCCGGCCGTCGACGGAGTCGTCGGTGACGCTGGCCTGGAAGCCTTGGAAGAGGGAGTAGCTGTTCTTGTGATCGGGGATGTTGATCAGGAGTTCGTCGGGGAGGTGGGCGATGGCCCGGTGCTGTATCTCGGCCGTAGACAGCCTGGAGCGCACCATGTCGGTCGGAGTGGTGCGGGCCATGGAGAACATGCTCCGCTGAACGTGTGGCCGCTTCATCTGCTTGTGCATCTCGGCCATGGCCGTCTGGTAGTGGTTGGTGACATCCTCGGGATTGGGGCCCATCAAGTGATTGGCCGTCGTGGTGACTTTGCGGCCAAATGCTTCGATGCCGCGTGTCTGTGTGGATTTAGTCAGAGGTGGTACGAGGGGGATATCGAGAGACCTTCCCGGAGGATACGACATACAGATATGATTGACTGCTCATCATCGCCGGGTCCATCCTCAGGAAAGACATACTGGCCCTCTTGATCAGCCATGGCCAGAACCACTACAGCCAGGCACACCAGATAAGGGGAAAAAGTCGGTGACACGTGCCGTCAAGGAGGAGAGGATGTGGCGGGGACAGAGGGAAGAGGGGAGGAGAAGAGAAATTATGAATATGAATTCGGCGTAAGGCGCGCTGCTTCGAGCATTACTCGGCAGGAAGGAAGAAGTTGCCGTGGACGGAAGGGGCTAAGGGAGAAAAGGCTGAAGAGATCCGCGGGTGTCAAGTACGGAGCTCGGATGCACCAATGACGCGCTCAATGCCGAACAGAAACAGCGGCCTACAAGTTTTTTTTTTTTTTTTGGTTTTTTTTTTGTATACAGATTACTGTAACCTGTACAGGAGACCGACTCAGAGCGTAGGCCCAGAGGCGTGGATCTCTCTGCCACTGTCATAAAGGGGGGTTGACAAAAAAGCTCCAGGACAAGGAGAAAGTTATATTGCCGAGCCCCACGCATCATGTATATAAAACCATCTATAAAACAATGTATGCTACGCCCATAGAATACTCATCAATACTGCTTATCTTACCGGTGAAGATAGGGTGTGATATCCTCTGAATGCAGAGTAATTTGATCCTTGCTAACAGTCCAAGTACCGATATCATCTCAGATATTGCATCTCTCTCGCCATCGCGGCTCTATCAATACTGGGCGTTGCCCCGAGTCCCAGAAACACCAAGTGACTGTCCTATTTTGTCCACTATCCCCCCCCCCCCTAACCTGTATCGCCTGGGGCACCCTCCCCCCACCTCGAGTCCAAGCCACACACCATATACCCACATTTCACAAGCCACATGCCACATGCCACATCCCGCTCGCCCTCTCTGCTCTTTGGTCTTGCAGCGTTCTTGCAGGCAGGAGCGACCAAGAAAGTCTACTCTAAAAGCAGAACGGGTCCGGTCACCGGCGAGAGGGGGCGATCAAGCAAGCTTGTCTCTACTGCATCGTCATAATATTCGACTTTTCACGTCATACACGGCTTCTCGATATCCCATAAGCCCCTCTCCCCACGTTCTTCGCTTACAGGTACTTTGCTACCCTGCCCCTCCTCACTCATCATCGCAGCAGTATAGTCCCCGCCATCATCTTGCTCATACCACCACCACCACCACCTTATCACCATGGACGCCGCCGTGGATCTGGGCGATGCCTCCAAGGCACTGGAACTTTCGAGGATTCGCTACCAGCTCATGTGAGTCTCTCTTTCCCGCATGCCGTGTGCAGGATACTACCACACTTCCATATATATGTGCGTGTGTAAGAGTCTGCGCCTGCGGCGTGGATGTGTCTGACTGACGACCGACAGCCGATTAGAGGACACCATCACCTTTCACCTCATTGAGCGTGTACAGTTCGCCTTGAATAAGGTTAGACTTCAAGCCTGGGATCATCCAGATGATTATAAATGACAGGGAGGAATGGAGAGCACGTCGTGTATCTGACCGAGACTCTAGACCATCTACACTCCTGGGGCTGTCACTCTCCCCAACTACAATGGCAGCTTCCTAGATTGGTACATCCGTGAGCAGGAGAAGATCCAGTCGCTGGTGCGCCGCTTCGAGTCGCCGGATGAGTACCCTTTCTTCCCCGACGCGGTGCAGAAGCCCATTCTCAAGCCGTTGAACTACCCCAAGATCCTCCACCCCAACAACGTCAACGTCAACGACAAGATCAAGAAGTTCTACACGGAAAAATTTCTACCGGCTGTGTGCCCAGATTTTGGTGGGCGCGGCGACCGCGGTGAGTCGGAGGAGAACTACGGGTCGACGGCCGTCTGCGATATCTCGTGCTTGCAGGCCATCTCGCGCCGGATCCATTTCGGCAAATTCGTCGCCGAGAGCAAGTTCCGCTCCGAGGAGGAAAAGTATACTGCCCTCATCAAGGCTGGCGACCGCGAGGCTATCGGCGAGGCCATCACCGATGCTGCCGTCGAGAAAAAGGTGCTCGACCGACTGAGGCTCAAGGCCCAGACCTACGGCACCGATCCTGCCCAAGCTGACGAGGCCAACCCGCCTTCCAAGATCAACGTCGACGCCGTCGTTTCCATGTACAAGGACTTTGTCATTCCCCTGACAAAGGAGGTCGAGATCGAATACCTGATGCAGAGACTCGAGCCGGAGGTATAGAGCAGAAAGAGGTGAACATAGAAATAACAGGTTGGAAAGAAAGGCATCTATGAAAGGTAGAGGAGAGAGAAAAAAGACGGTGATTCCATGGGAGGCAAGACAAAGTATAGATCAAACGCAAAAATGGTTGAGTTTCTCTCTTTTTTTTTTTTCCTTGTGTGTTGTTGTTGCTGTGTTCTTGTTCGTCATTGTTGCTGCGGCCCCCCTATGTACTCCTGGACAGCCTTGACAGCGGCAGGGAACTTGCTAGCCTCGATGAGGATCATATGTCCAAAAGGTTTGATGCCCATCTCCTGGAAAGCGCGCTTGCTGTCAGCGGCCAGCTCGTTCTCCTTTGTGAAGTTGTAGCTGCCGTAGGCGATAGCGTGTTTCTGGAACACCTCGTCCTCAGGGTGGAAGTAGAAGGTGGCAGGCTCGCCACCCTTGGCCTTCTTGCGCTTCCTGTCCTCAACGTCGAGGGCCGACTCGATCTCGCGGTACGTCTTGGAGATGATGAGATAGTGTGTGAAGTCGTATGGTTCCTTGTCCTCAACAGCGGCCTCGACCTCGTCAATCATCATGGAGAAGAGCGGCGGGGCAATCTCGGGAGGAACGTTGATCAACCTCTCGGAGAAGATGATGCCAACCTGCTGCTTCCCGCCGGCAGTGCCGGCCAGCAGCGGGGGGACCGCAGAGGATAATGAAGGGTTCGTGCGTGCCTTGTCGGCCAGGTACTTGGCAATGTCACCGATGGGCTCCTTGTGCGCATTCTCCGTCAGGTTGAGGACGGTGGCTAGGGCGTAGGCATCGGTGGCCTTGCCGTCCACCTTGACCGTCGAGCCAATGGTGTTCTGTGAGACCACCAAGTCCGCCAGGGCCGATATGTTGAAGAGGTTCGCGTCGACGTCGAAGAGCTGTCGCAGGAGACCCTTGGTGCCGTGGAAGTCGATCTCAGGGTCAAAGTTGAACCACTCAAAGTCGACGTTGACAATGTCGAAGTCCTGTGTGTGTGTCGGGAGTCAGTGCTCATCCTTCATCCCAGCAGGAGCAGCAGAAGAAGCAAGAGACCGAGTCTGGAGGCTCTCTTACCTCGTCATCCTCGTCCATCTTGTCGACCGAGGGGTCGGCCGTGGGCTCGTCTCTCTCCCTCTTCCGGCCCATTCTGTATGATGCGATCGCTGGTAGAACGGGTGATGGAGTGCTATATACGGATGCTTAACCTAGGGAGAAAATGAAGAGAAAGCAGAAGGGAATCACGATACCAAAGTACTGGATTACTAGTATAATGGACCCAGGAAAAGCCGAACAGGAAAAGAAGGAGAATGGCTATGTCATGCGGTCACAGACAGAGAAAAAAAACCATGCCCCTCACTAACCAAACTGGGGTATCCCACCTCCATCTTCCCTCCGGTGTTGCGCCCATGATCAACTGAACCCGGGGCGGCAGCGGAGGCTACAGCGAGCGCTGTAACCACTAATAGCAGATGGGTATTGCCTACCGGATGATGTTACGGTGCGCATCACAGGGGATTGATACAGCAGCTGTTCGTCGATGCTGACCAATGAGGAACGCCCGTCCCCGGTGCGGAGGCGAGCAGCCTAGGCTCGAGGGATTCCACCTGCTGGAGCAGTGGAACTCAGCCCAGCAGTAGACTCACCGAGAGAGACCCGTCAGCAGCCGTAAACAGCCAAAACGGGCCCCCCTCAAGTTCTCAACAGCGCCTGAGCCCACAGCACTTGGAGCTTTGCAGGTTGCGTCAGCGACCGACCGCCCGTTTATTCTTCTAATATTAATATTACTTGCTTCTATCTCGACCATCACCCACGCCTTCAGGGATCTCAGCCTCGTGCCTGGAGTTCTCCGTATCCCCCCCCTCACACACACGTACACACCGACGATCAGAGGATAGGAGATAAGAGGGGCCAATTCATGTGTGCCGCATCCATCCCCCGACGCCCATTGGAATAATCCCGAGCACCTGGTTCCCGCCTCTCTGCGACATTATCGACAGCTACGATCCGATCCCGCCACCCCATCATGGACTACGGCGCCTCCATCAACGAGGCAGACGACCCTGCCGCCTCTCCCTGGGGTAACTCGCCCGCCTCTTCTCCCCAGCGTGCCCGCGCGCCGCTCGGGAACTTCAGCGACGACCCTCCTCCCCTGCGATTCACGCCACAGCCGTCCAACGGCTTCGACGATGCCCTGGGCAGCCCTCGGGGCTTCCAGAGACCAGGCACCGTCACCACGTCGTCGGAGACAGAGGGAGGAGGGTCGGAGCCTGCCACAGATACCGCCGCCGTTTCCTCGCGCGAGTCGGAAGCGCCTGGGGAGGGCGACGATGCCGCCGCATCGCACGACGCTACCGCGCTCGGTGCTGACAATCAACGGCCTGCCGCTGCTGCTGCTGCTGCTCCCGCCGTCGCCACTCCCCAGCGGGAGGCCCCCAAGCCTACCAAACCGCAGTATCGACTGCAGGCCAAGGTCACCGGACTTGAGCGCACTGGGAAGAAGGACCCCATCATCCGTTTCGATGTCTACGTATGCTCTTGCTTCTCTCTCCCCTCTAGATGCTGCTCGTGATCAGCTTTCCAGCTAACATGTTGCGCTTCTCCCCGCAGACAAACCTGCCTCGGTTCCGCACGACGCAATACCGAGACGTGCGCCGACTACACTCGGAGTTTGTCAAGCTCGCGCAGCATCTTGTATCAGCCAATCCCGAGGCCCTGGTCCCCGCCATGCCGCCGTCGGTGACGTCGGCCGGCGCCGGGACCGACGAGGACGAGGCTCGCGTCAAGGCCCTCATCCAGCGCTGGTTCAACTACGTATGCAGCAACGAGACCCTCATGAAGGATGACGAGATGATTCTCTTTGTGGAGAGTGACTTTGGCTACAGCCCCCTCGTCAAGATGAAGCAGCCGGCCACGGGAGTCCGGAGGAAGATTCTCAAGCAATTCGCGCCGCCGCCCGATGACACTCTGGAGCTGGCGGATGCCCGCCCCACGGTCAAGCTGTTCTATCTCGGATCCATGGATGCCGGCCACAAGGTGGACAAGCTGGTCAAGGCCCGCAGAGGTTGGTCGATACACTATACCCCC